CTACGCAGTAGCCCCTCGTTCAGCGACGCCCGTCATTGGTCGATATCAGCCGATTTCAGGGATCAGGCCCTTATCTGGGCTGTCCTTATTACCCTCTTTTACCGCAGCAGCCGCTGCAGAGTGCAGCCAACGACCCGCTTGCTCTGCCCGAGCGAAGGCTAGCCGTGGGAGTGGTGTTCTCTGTGGGCTGGCTCTCCACAGGAAGTTCGCTACACCTCCCCCACAGTTCCAGCTCAAGTTGCCCTTGGTACTGCCCCCCTCTCTCTAGTCTTCTGTGCCTGGGAAGCGGCTAGTTGAGCTGTCACCCTGAGCCCTGCCAAGTTGGCATGCCATGTCAAGTTCCTGATCTTTCATCAACCTTGTTACGTCACTATGTCCTCTATCTAATCGGCCTCAGTTCGAGCTGGGAGAAAAGCTCCGAAGAAATGAGTGCGAGTTCTTTAACGGCTAACATTTTCTTGTGGACCCGACGCGGAAAATACCCCCCCACTTCACTGCAGCGCGCTCAGTTCACGTCATGGCAAACATGGTGCTCCCTGCTCTTTCAGTGACATCACCATGTGTTGGGTAGCATCCTGATGACCCCCATTCTTTCTACTGATTCTCACCGAAAGTCGGTCAAAGAGAACAGGGGCATCACATGAATAAGAATTTTTAAGGCGTTTCTTAGGTCAAATGGGAATGAGGGGTGACCTGTGGGAAGTGGGAAAATTGGCAAATTTCGTGAATCCTGGGGTCTTGGCTTCAGAGGAGAGATCTCGAGACCGAGTGGTGGGTACATGTTCCATCCTTTGGGTTAGGGATAAAGACTGGGACAACAAATGGTCCGCAATGTAGAGAGAAACTGGGTTAAAAGAGGAATATTGAATGATGAATGAGGCTCTGAGAGTTGCAAAGATGAGGTTGGCATTCCTTCAAGTGGCTCATCGGGAACAATGCTGTCAAGATGGATATTGCGAAACATTACACAAAAATCTTGCTTGCCTTTAAAGGCATGATACAAAACAAGAACAGGGTTCACTACTCACTGAAAGACAGCTTGCGCACCTAGGTAGGCTGTAACTTGTAACATGCTGTTGTGAAGTTTCTGTTGGTGTCAATCTTTGGCTGAACTGGAAATCTCAAGCTACAAGAGCCGGGAACTGGGAGTGAGAAAGCGAGATAGCGACAGACTGGAATAGCACAAGATCAGCAAAGCAAGAGAAGAACATAGTGGTTGACTTAAACCAGAAGCTTGATTGTTTCTTTGATCAATTTTCGTATAAAAAACACGCTATCAGGCAGTGTAACCTGTGCTCATTCTTCACCCACAAAATATGTTATCATGTCTGCCAAAGATGGCCACAGGTCAACATGAACCAAACTGTGCTACTTCCTGAACTAGACTGCATCAGAGCAAAGGTTTTGACATCCTGCCCTCCGGCATCTCTCACTATGGCCTGAGAAACAGGCTAAGAGAGATAAGGAGACGGAGTTATAACCAAATATGCATCATGAATGTTATAGGGTGACGGCTTTCATCACAGAGACCATGACGATCCGCCCTTCAACTACTCCGTGGCCACACGGTAGCTGCACTGTGGATGTGGGTGTGCCGGCCGGAACTCTGGCCCCACTCACCGGTGCCGGAGCTGAGTATGGTCCGGGTGCCCCGCTTTGTGCCGACATCATGTCCGGAGTACCTCCGCAACACAGCCCCGTTGCTTGCGGTGATGACTTCAAAGGTGACAGGGGGGTGTCTATGAAGTGAAATCATTACTATTGAATAATTTTGACATTGTTTAGGGGCTTCCAACAGTTGTAGGTAGTCGAAGGCTCCGGAGGTTGTGATATTCAGGGCTCATGGCGAAGCAAATGGTCATGAGAGTGGCATCATTAAAAGCTCCAATGAGTTCTATTCTCACTATTTGCCAGATGACTGAGACATGGGGCATAGTTATGCCTATCGCCCATATTTTGTCCTCTTCCTCTTTCCTTCTTCCAGGCAGAACACTCGTTCTTCCGCTCATCCCCTTCTAATACTCAGACCCGATAAAAGTATCATTTTCACTTTTCAGTATAACTTTTTTCCCTTTCATTTGTCGGACATCCTATTTGGTGGGAAACCAGATGTCACTAGCTTCTACACCCAAGATCATAACTTCGACCTAGACTTCGATGCCTGCTGATAGCATGGAAAGACCTGACAAAAGGATTCCAATAACCAACGAAATTCCAGTTTTTTCTTCCATTTGTACTTTTCTTTTGTTGTTTCTACCTCTGTTGGAAGGCTAAATCTGAAGGCTATACCTTACAGATCATATACTAACTTTAACACTCAAGCCTGGCAGCTGCCCCATTGGCTGAGGAGTCAGCCAAGTACACATGTGCAGAGAAATTGATGACTTCACAACAAATAAGCAAGCCCCTGCAGCTGTGATGCATTTGATTTCCAAAGTTTTGCATACAAGACCGGGGATTGGAACTGACAAGTACAGAGAGGACCTGATCACTTGTCAGAAGTACATTTACAAGTCTCTATAGAACATGGAACGATTGAACAATTTGAAGGCTGAAAAAATGAAGTTACAAGGGTCACTTGTAAAGGATCGATGTTGGGTGCTGTAATGGTGGACTTGGTCTGGTGCAGGCAGGGATCAACAATAGGTCAAATGGGTTAGATAATAGCCACTGACGATGTGGGGTGCACAACGAAGTCAATTGATATATGTAATAATTTTCTTGGTCCTCAGTGTTCTTGTGCTGGGAGAGGAAAAGCAAACGAAGTCCTTCATTGTTAGCTGCAAGTGACCGCGATGTGGTCACCACTGACCTACCTCGGTTAGCTCGGGCTCCACTGAGGTCAGCTGCACACTTGACTTTATATAAGAGCCATGCTCATCCGCCCTCACGCATGTGTTGTTTAGAAGGCAGAGCGTTGTTATTCTGCGGCACCCATTGTGCTTGACAGATTCCCTCAGGGCCGTGTGTTCTGCAGGGCAACGTGCAGGTAAATACTCCCATCCATATCATGATTTTCTTGTACATCCAAGATTCATCGTGTCCGGGCACTTTTCTTATGAAATCCTCTTGCTGTTGTGAGTGCCTCGGCCTACCAGGCTTTCAGGGGTCTCGTCCTCCTGCCTTGACCATCTTGGTCATTCGGTCGCATGGCTCCATATATCCTCCGGGATCAACCACGTATTTGTGTCGTTCACAATCATTCTATCTCTGGCATCCCTTGTGTTGGCAGTTGGGGATCTCCGTGTTTCAAGTTCCCATCAAGATCCAATCTTTCCCGGAGTGACATCGCCGCCTTCTTCACGGAGAGTTGAGAGAGGCTAGAAGGGACAGACAATTCTTCCTGACAAAGTTGGCTGCTCTTCATCTGTGGTTGGGGATGTGTCCTAAGAGATATCAGTTGGTTATGGCTAGATATATCTCCATAAATGTTGGCTGTGCTTTGTTGAATGTCCTTTGTTAGAGTCGACAATGACTTCGGTCAAAGAGTTCTGCAATCACAAGCTCAAGTGGGAACAGAATGATATTATCAGAGGAAGCTACATTAGTTCACTGGGAATGGGAGTAAAGAGATGTATTTAAGCAAGAAGACACACAATGGCAGTAAAGTAATTTATACCTCCCCGTTCTTAGTGCATGTGGTTACTGACAAAATACCATATTTTATATCAGCACACGGTCTGGTGTTCATGGATCTGGCAGTATCCCTAGGAAGTGCGTGACTATGTCCTCGCAAAAGGTGGTATATTATTAAAGTTAGGCCACAGAGATAGATGTGAACAAAGGAACTTTGACTCAGTTCGGAAAATGTTCTTTGGGTCAATGTCAACCTCAAAGGAGTAATGAAGACAAAAGAATCTGGAATGAGATACCTTGGCAATTGTTCAGGGCACATTTGGAGCTCCACTCGTCAATTGTTTGATGGGACATCCGGCACTCACAGCCAGCGTCCACTCCAGGCCAGGCTTGAGGCAACTTGCAGCCAGCTGGAAAGTATGGCTGAGTGGAATTATGTAGGGCCTTTGCATTTGACACTTGCATTTGGCTGGAGACCCACCCAAGGGGCACTCACACCAGGCCCGCTTATGGGTAGAGACAGACACTCAAATCTCCATGGGTGGTCACTGCGGGTGGAGCAGCCCGCACTTCAGGTTTCTCTCCTGTAACAATCAGTTTTCTCTTTTACGAAGCAAAATGATGGCAACCAATGCTCACCCCCCCGATGACAGCACTTCTGACAATCATCACGGATGAATTGCGCTCCGTCCATGATCCTGTCATCCGGGCATAGCATAACCGCGCTGTAAACACTGTCTTATCGCGCCAATTACAGGACAATAACTGGAACTGACTGCAAGAGCATTTATTGCCCTTCATTAAGGATAATTTCTCATTCATTTAGGGCTCATCTTTGAAGGCATGCCGCATGTTCTGGGGCCTACATACACATCCCACAGTCGTCACCAAGCAGGCTGTTACCTACTGCGTCCTCTACTCTATGTGTTGCAATAAACGTAGGCTTCCTACCCTGTCCTTCTCTTATTTGTGTCTTACAGTTCGCCATCGAATGCCTAATTGATTACTTTCTGCACAGATCTTGAGCTCCCAGATGATTGGCTGGAGAGACTATTACTGGAATTCCGAGAGCAGCTAGAGGAGGATGGTACAGGCCGAGCTAGTACAAAGTGGATGTATAGATGCCAGTGTTACAATTAGGGTACTTCTTGGAAGCTCGACCAATTGACAAAGGCTCAACCACATGTCATAAAACTATTGCTGAGAAAAATGACAGAGTCAATGGTGATGTCTAAATTGATCACAACCACCACAAAGTACATCCTACCTCACAATGAAGCAAAGTTAAAAGAGAAGACAAGATAGAGACCAAGAAGATACAATGGCACATTTCAAACGCGAAAATTTTTCCCCTGAATGTCCCATTCGGTCCATCCAGCTTCCCATTCATATGTTCCCAAACCATCCAAAACCGCCCCAACCATCTAGTCCTTAACGTTAATGTAACGATAAGGCTTAGCAGTTCGGCTCCCAATCTTGTAGTTGATCGGGCGCTTGTACTTGACGCAGCCGCTGGCCTTATTGCGGCACTCGAGAGTGTTGAAGGTCTTCTTAGCGCTGTCGGCCCAGGAGAGGAAGAGCACAACGTGGCCGCCGTCGCCACCGGTGCCGCTGCCGAGCGTGCCGACGAAGTCACCCTTCTTGAGCTCGCTCCATTTAATTTCCTTTGCGATCTTGGTCATGGTTACGGTGCTATAGCCAGGGGCCCAGGCGTGCAGGGCCATGGAGACAAACTGTTCACGTTAGTATTAGATTGTTGGTTAGGCGTGTGAGAGACTTACGCCAGAGCAATCTGTGCGATACTTCCTTCCCTGAGGATCCGGATAGTAGGCGCTCTGCGAGTAAGGCACCTTCTTATTGATCCAGTACATGCCGCGCTCGATGATTTCATCGCGAGTAATCTTCCCCTGGTACGAAGACTTCCCGCTGGAACCGCTACCGCCGCTGCCTGAAGAAGAGCACTGCTTGGTGACCATGCTGTTGGAGCCCGTCTTGACATAGTAGTCCGAGACATAGCAACCGTCCTGCGTCTTGTCCCAAAGGTTGTTGCCATTGATGCTCTCGCCCTTGATCTGGCACGAGATTTTGACGTCGGTACCCTTCTTGTAGGACTTGATCACTTTGTAACTGGTGCCGGGGCCAGAACGGCAGTTGACACCTTCGCCAGTGATGGGGTAGGCTGTGACCATGGAGACGGCGGCCGCCAAGGTGAGGAAGATGTTAGTGAGTTTCATTGTGATGGTTGTGTTGAGAGCTTCCGAGTAGAGAGAATGAACTGGACGTTTGGGGAAGAGAATGGAGTTTTGTTGGAGAGCTTGAGGCTTGAGAAGTATTGATTATCTGAGGCTGTTTTGAGCCACTGATGCTGATGATGATGTCGAGGCAGGAATGTTGAGATCCTGAGCCGTCTTTATACTTTTTCCAATATTCAAGAACTGAACACGGTTCTCTAGTTTCTAAGTTAGTCTTTTTTCCATGACTACTGTCGGACTGACTGCTTGGCTCCATCATGACAGAGCTCATCCTAAGCTATCCGTTGAGGATACAATTGATGCAATCTCAGTTGACCCAATTAACATCCTGCTTACTTTGTTCGAATGCCATTCCTGGATCTCAGCCCTTGGTAAGGAGAATTGCAAAATGAGATAATTGGCATCAGCCAGACAACGTTAGCCCGGTCCCACAGTGGTGGTAACAGTATCGGCGGCACAGCCGCAGCTCTTACTGGTAAAGGTGCTGCAAGGTACCACGCGAGATCCACCAATAGCGGATGCTTTACCCCAGATCAACCCCTGTAAGTGCTGTAAATAGCACAGCCCCGCCTGACGCTTTTTGTAAGACGGACAGACTTCACCAAACTCTTAGCAGACATGCATGCCATTGAAGAGAATGTAAAAATATTCTACCAGATATTCTCGTCGACCGATCTATTTTTTGGCGCATGAATGATACGAGCTTGCTGGAATAAGTCGGGGCCGAGTCGGCCGAGTTCCACAGTTCCAGGAGTTCTCAGCTGAGGTCCATAGTACTACCTAATCCGCGGGAGCGTGGTTCTGGAGGACAAAATCACCACTTTTGGCAGTCGGAAAGGCTCAGCAGCAACATATGTTTGTCCGAGCATTTTTCTTCCTGAAATAAATATAGGCTTTTTGGTTCAATTATCCACATCGTTGATTGACAAAATTAAAGGATCGCAAGAGAGGTCCAATAAGCGATCTATGACATTGTTGCAATGCTCTTCGACTTCGATGGAAGCAATTCCACGAGATAGCTTCTACTGACCAGCTAGTCAATTTTTTCTAGGTCAGGAGACTCAAAGAATCACAAAATATTCCATCAGGTTCAATTCCAAGAGAAGGGCTGCCCAGAAGCGGATGGCTCTCAAGACATGATGCTAACACAGCAAGAGTAGTTTGTCACATCCCTGACTTAAGGTACGCTCCAAGCATGAACAAGACACCAATGAGCAATCTAAGAAGTCTTGATGTCCCTATCCCGGAGTTCTTGAGGGAACTTCAGGTAATATCTTGACTGAATTTGATTTGTTGAGGGTAGGACAATCCAAATATGTCTCTCTCAACCCCAAGTGTTAGTTGCAAGTGACCGCAATGTGGTCACCACTGACCTACCTCGGTCAGCCCGGGCTCCACTGAGGTCAGCTGCACACTTGACTTTATATAAGAGCCATACTCATCCACCCTCACGTGTGTGTAGTTTAGAAGGTAAAGCGTTGTTATCCTGCGGCACCCATTGTGCTTGACAGATTCCCTCAGAGCTGCGTGTTCTGCAGGGTAACACCCAAGTACATACTCCCATCCACATCACCATTTTCTATACATCCAACATCAAGTAAACATGAACATATTAGTACTATTACCGAAAACAACGCGACTAAAAAATGCTACAAATACAGGATATCATGTCACATGAAATGCCATGGTAATCGACACATATCTGATCCATCTCCTTATGCGTCTCGATATTTGGCAATGACAAGTTCTTCTGCGTACTCCCGTCCGATTGATAGAGTCGACCGCCTTCGTCATCTCTATCGCGTAACCAGCACACAAAACATTGGAATAGAGCAGGCCATGATGGCTGTTGCGAGCTCAATGGTACCGAAGACGAAGAGTTCCACTGTTGTAGCTAGACTGCTTAGTCGTCATATCGGGTGGAGAGGCTGAGAAAGGAGAGATTACTGTTTTCGTTACCGATGACATATAGTGTCTTGACATTAAGAAAGAACATCAACCCTGGTCTGTTGGAAGTAAGCAACAAATCCCATTACTACTCACATGGAGCCGGTCACTTATACGTCACTTACATGACACCAGCGCTCATAGCAACCACCGCTCCCAGTATCTTCCTCTCATTAATCGTCTCCGTTCACATCATTCTCCATGGAATCAACGCCAACACAATATCCATCAACACACTAAACGCACTAACCGCCGTATTGAAGCACTCAACCACCTCTCAACCATCTTTGACAGGGGGCACTTCCCTCGGGGATGCTCACAAATCCACAGCCTCGAAATCAGTCAGTGCTGCACCCATTGTATTATCCCTTTAACGGCGAACATCAAACTAACAATAATCAGGATCGACCATACCATATAGCGCATGCGGCTTTGTGGGAGATGGCGATGTGTAGCAGGGATCGGGCAATAAGGTCATGCTCCAACAGGTTACCAGGATGGAGTGGAAGCCCGTGATACAGGAGTACTTGACTACGTAAATGATTGTATTCATAGAGCGTTGGATTCCATAGCACCGGCCAAGGCCGTAATGAACGGCGATGGTTTGGAGGAGGGCGAATTGTGGGTTTCAGGATGTCAGCGGTGTATCAGGGAGAGTTAAGGGGGGCATAAGAAAGCTTAGTTCCCTGAGGCTGACTGATAAGCGAAAAAATTTTTTTCGACAGAATACACACGCAGGCCGTGATCACGGCGGATCCATCCCACCAGAGCTTGCGTCACCTCCACAGTTGCAAAGTACCCGGAGAGCATCAGGGGATATGGCGGACAGAACTGTCAGGGCCCAGATGAGCCTTCTAGGTACAGGCCGTAATTGCTGTTTATGTCGTCGGCATCGCTACGGACAAAAAAGCCAGGTAAAGTTGTGGGATGCGGGATGCAGGTTCGTGGTTGAAGTCATGGCTCTGAACTTTTGGGACCGAGTTCGAGGATCTTTAGCTCTTCATCAAGAGGTAAAATGCAGCATTGGTTGCTTCGGCTGTTGCAACATCGCTTCGTACCGACATATAGCAAGTTGCTGTGTGAAAACTTGGCTTTCTTGAAGATGTTGCGAGGGAAAACGGCGGAAAGGAAACCTCATTTCTCTGTAGCTGCCCAGACGGAATCTCCTTCAGCTCAGCACGTCTCGACGACTCATCTCGTGCCAGCCCATCCCAAAGCGCTAGCTCCAAAGCATTCGAGCTCGATCACGCCGTAACCACACCCGGTGCTGTTGCGGCGTGAAAGGCGGGGAAGGCTTTAGGGCATGGAAACCAGTTTGCTGTTCCGGGATAAAGTCTCATTGGTCATTTTTTGTGACAGGCACCTCAGCTGGTGAGGGCGATTCCCAAACGTGTTGGCGGGGTTCCATCTGCGGAGCCTGGGGTAACCAGAAACGGGAAGATGCATCTACAGGACGGTACCAAGGTGAGTGCTTGATGCCTCTTAAGATATCACCATCCTCAAGGTGTATGCTGTGCTGTTGCTATCATGAAAGGCCTCAGCAGATTCCCAACCGAGTGTTGGTATAACGGGAGACTTGGTCTGGTACAGGCAGGATTGAGAATGGGTCAAATGGGTTAGATGATAGCCACTGACGATGTGGGGTGCACAACGAGGTCAATTGATACGTGTATTAATCTTTTTTGGTCGTGTGGCTCCATATATCTTCCGGTATCAACCACGTATTTGTGTCGCTCACAATCATTCTATCTCTGGTGTCTCTTGTGTTGGCAGTCGAGGACATCCCTTTCCTTGTGCTGCCGTGTCCGTATGACAGGTGCATAATTCTTTTAATTTGGGTCACGTAGGGGTAGAAGTAGTTCTTTTACTGCGCTACTGGCAGCTAGAATGATTACTGAAGTATCAAGGAAACTTGCTTCATGTTATACCCTCAATGCTGCGGTGTACGCATTTTGGCACCAATAGTGATGAGGTCACTCCATAGTAATCTATGCTACTGGTAAAGCCTTTTGCACGGCAGCTTTTGCTTCAAAATCAGTGTTTAAGCATTGTTGATAGCTGAACATAACAAACTCAGAATTTTTTGGCGTCCCTTGAGATGATAATTGAAGGTTGCTTTGCTGCTTGTGTCACATGGACACGGCAGCCCAAGGAGAAGAGATATCCCTGACAGCCAACATTTGGAACACCGGTAACACAAGAGCTGAGAAGGGCATATTTAATTGGTAAAGCCCGGGAAATGTAAAGGGGTGGAAAAAATGAGTTAGATAACCTTGCAACGATGAGGAAAACCCCTGAAGATCCCAGGAGACCGCGAGGTACTCAACAAGGGCAAAGGGATTTTATAAAGGGAGCTACTTGGACATAATGAAGGATTTCTCTTGGTTTCCCTCTTCCCAACACAAGGACACTGAGGATCAAGAAAGATTATTACACGTAGCAGTTGACTTTGTTGTGCACCCCACATCGTCAGTGGCTATTATCTAAACCAACTGACCTATCGTTGATCCCTGCCTACACCAGACCAAGTCCCCCGTTAGACCCTCAGCGACCTATGTCAGAAGAGTAGACAAGTCGGTCCGTTGAAGAAACTTAAGTCCCACAGAAAGCCAAGATCTATTGAGAGAAATCTAGCTCCAACCAACAACCCACAAATGTATCTCTGCCACAAACTCAGCCACCCATTGAGAGGGAGGGCCAAGCCGGTTAGCCAGAGGGTTTAATCTGCCTCCAGCCATTCCTCAACTCCCCACTGAAGAGGAAAAATCATGTCGGTCTGGTGGAGGATGTCGGTCTTAGCAAAGTACTTGCCTTCTTTCTCCCAAAGCAGTGTTGTCGACAGTGAAACCTCTGCGATAGAAAAAACAGATCCACACCATCAGGTCAACTAACCCCCAGAGTCCCAAACTTAGCACAATCGACAGTGCAGTTTCTGATACACTGCAAAGCAAACCCGCACCATCAGGAGCCGGCATCAAGCGATAGTTAGGTCTCTGCCAAGATATAAGGGCAGTGCCACGCCATTTAACAGTTGACGAGAATAATATCAGCTAAAGGCTGTAGAATAGTCCCAAAAATGGTAGTCTGTACCTCACGCCCCTGGGGCTCAGCTACCCACTGAGGGGGAGAATGCTAAGGTGGTCAAGCGAAAGACATCAATCCCGCAGTTTTGGCAAGCAAGCCATCTGCCATGGGGAGAGAGGACTGGACACCACCAATTGCGATACCTGCCTTTGTTGGTTTATGAGGAAGAAAAGAGGAAGATGTTTGAATGGGGGTTTAGATATATTTATAGTTTGGCGTGGCCGATCTGTGCGGCGCGACCTGCATGTAAAGAAGTCACAATTATCCACTGTTTGGGGAGTGACGAGGGGGGTCAGGAGTGATTCTTGAGTGTCCAGACTGCGCATCAGAGATGAAATGATTGGAAAACATTGAGGGGCACAAGAATGCATGTCAGGTCCAGCTGAACCCAAACTCTCCGTTAATGAGCAGTGAGAGGGTTTTGTGATCTTTAAAAGCGAGCAGTAGTAACAAGGATATCAGTGTCCCAAGATACTCACAACACCGGACACGTCACGCAGAATACTATTGTAACTTCTTCATCTCTTGAGAACCTTACTCAGTTTGACAAAGCAAAGATACATGCAGTTTATCCACTACAATCAATTTAACATTCTCCGTGGTTAATATCTTCCAAGAGCTGTAATTTTGGGAAATATCCTTCTGGATGCTGAGGCTTTACTTCCTCCAGGTCATGACTTTGCGCTTAGGCAGCAACACCGTTAAAATTGTAGCCTAATGACTTTTTGAACACCAGCTAGTTCAATACGGAAGCAATGAGTTCGACCAACAGTCCGGCAAGCTTCTCTGTTGGCTAGCGATGTTTCTGCTATGCCTTTATCTTTCAAATCTTTAGCTCCCTCCCATCAATACAATTATACTTACTACCTTTCTTATTGATTGAGTTACTCAAGGTAGTCTTAACCAACTTCACCCTTTCACAACTTTCATCTGACTTTCCAATCCGAAGGTTTTCACTCGTTTTATCGCAATCTTCCATACAACTTTTCTCACCTGCAATTCCTTACGCCCCAAATCTCCTCCAACCACCACCCAGAAGTCACCCGTCAGTATGTGTGATGCCTTTTGCTCTCGTCGGCTAAGAGCTCATACCGGTTTTAACCCTGGGTGCTTCCGGAGTAATTTCTACGTCTCAGATCTCCCTGTTTACTGGCAGCTTAGAATGCTTTGGAGGCATGCGCGATGATAGCTCTCTCTCTATACCGATCTAGGCTGGTTCGTTCTCTAGCCTTTCCTTGAAGGGTGTCTGGATGTAATTTTCAATTATGGCAATACGTTGCGTTCCATTTAGAAAGTTAGTGTTGTCAGCACTGTCTCTACCAGGCCTGTGAAATATCCAGAAAAATTGGGGGAAGAAACCTCTGCATTGGACCTCCTCGCTTGGTTATAAGGACTAACATAACTGCTTGCCCAAATCTTTCCTCATGTCAGCCCTGCATTCATTGGAGAGTGCTGAGAACGACCTTCAATTTGTAGGGAGAACATCTAGGGTGATTGATGCCAAAAATCCGGCGGATTACTCGTGACATGGCTAGCGGATGGCGGATCAGTCAAACATCGCGGACAGTTTTGTTGAGGACAGTGACTTCGGCTACTCACAGTTAAAGTTAACACCACTTCAATCAACTCAATCGGTTACCGTATGGAGACCTTTGTCATCATGCGGGTCCGTGGAAGATCGAGACTCTTTCCTTCTTCCAGGCCCTCACCGTAGCTATTCACGGAATCCGGAAATAACCATATTTTCTTAGCAAAAACCTGACGCAAGATTGCTTGCTTTCCGATACAGCCGTATAAGGTTACCGTTAACGGGCTGTAGTGACGATAAAGCAGCAAATGAAGAGTGGAAATGATCAGGGCTAATAAGGCTATTGGAATGTGATTCTCCGGTGATTATTTAACTATTTATTCTACTTTTCGACCGGGTTCAGTGATTAGTGTGGTGCTTGCTGCATGTCACACCCAATCTTGTTAAAGGTATCAGCTAAGGTACAGAGCCAGTCGAATTGAGAGCTCAAAGCGCCAACATTCGGGCGTTAAGATGACTTGGGGCGAATGCTAAAAATGTTCGAGGTATGTGAATGTAGTTGTTGCGCCTCTCTGATGGCCAAGATATCTATCATCCAGTCAACCATGAAAGCGCAGACATCCCCTACGAACCGAATTTTACTAATTATCAACCGAACCGAAACGTATTTTTTTTTCGTCCAGGTCTTTGTATGCTTCCAAATTCCATGAATACAATGAAGAAACTCCAAGTCTAAAGAATAATCCTGCCGTGTCCAGTCACGATCGGCCGTCAATCTCTGCTGGCAACTCCGCTGCAGCGTAATTCGGAGCATGTCCTTGGACTCCAATGAAAAATGATAGTTCCCGGTGATCTTGTGGCACGCATACCAAATACCAAGGGAATCCTGGTGAAGCCAAGGCAATTGGAGGTTGTTGGATTGGAAATTGTTGGTTTGCATTGTGTGGCTGCGGAGGACTCGAAATGTTATAGGAAAGATTGCTAGAAAACTAGGCTCGATATGTATGCACTGTAAGTGCTGTGACCTTACTCACTGCTAAAGCGTTGAAATCCCTTGAGGGCTCAACAGATTTCTGGATAGCGCAGGGATCTGGTGTTCTGGAAGCTTGGAGACTTTGAGACGGTCAGGCATCGTGCCGAGCGGCTCCGAAGCTGCGGGAGTAGTTCCACGCTCCCTTTCATTGGGTGCTTAAGTTTCCAATGTGTCACATGTGTGGCTTGAGATGAATAGCAGGATAGAAACCATAACATAGAGAATTTGAGAGCTGGGATGGCAACCCAATAAAGCTTTAGCTTGAACTAGAAGTCACGGGTGGCACTGATGTTGAATAATATCGAATTAATCAGGTTGACTGGATGGCGAAGCAGACTAATGATAAAAACTGATATCAGAAACAGGCCCAGTTTCTGGAGCTACAGCAGGCCACAGTTAGCATAACCTCTTGAGAACATGTCTGGAATAGTGCGACTTACAAGGTTGAGTTCAATCTTGTGGGCAAACACATGAACAAATCCCAGCACCAACATGCTAACAGATCAAAGGACCGTCTCCACGATGATGGTGAATATCCTGTCTCTTCTCTGGCCAGCGGCTATCGTGATTGTGGACATTGTCTTCAGTACAGTTAGAGTCAGAGACATTGCTCCCTATAACAGCAATTCTGATCGAGAAGACAACTACAACCAGAGCCATGAGACCAAAGCATCCACGAACAAGATTTCACCCGTCTTCTCGACGTGACTGGCAATGTATTGAAGATATTTGCATTCTTACCAACGATAGGAACGGACTAGAGGTCAAATATTGTGGAGGAGAGCCCATAAATTTTCGGCTTAGTCCAAACTTGGCCGTCTCATAAGTAGTCGATGCGTGGACTCGGGCTCTCGGTTCCTTGGGATCAGTAGGTTTCGTAGGTACTCGTAAGCCTTGGGAAAAACTGCGGCTCTCATAGCTGTCAGCACGGATGAGCAGTTCGTAGCCGACTTACAAAATGCCGAGTTCAAGACTCTTTGCTTCCGCACGAGCTCATCAGTGACAGGCTTCAGGTAAAAGCAAGGCTTGATATGACAAACCAGTGAATGAGGCATGGGGATGGTCGGGGCAGAAGGGATGGCTGAGACGCTGGAAGCGGCACTGCATCCATGTATGTAGGGATGTTTTGTGTATCTCAGCATGAATATACATAGAAATGCGGGAAGCTCTTTCAGTTTACGAATTGGGGTCTGAGCCAACTTTAAAGCAACGCACATAGAAGGGAGACAAGATGCTGATGTAGTTTTCCCAAAATAGATACCTTCACGAACCAGCTGTATATATCTAATTGACCCCAAACCCCGCCAACGTTTTTACCTCAACCCTTCTAACAACCCATCCAACTTCTCCCACTCCTCCGTCCCCTCCCAGCTCTCCTTCGCCTTCCCCATAACGCTTCGCACAGCCATTCTCGCCTTTCCCTTCCATCTCTCCCCCAACTCGGGCACCCTCTCCCCATAATTCTCCAATATCGACACCAGCTCCTCTGTCCGCTCCAAAACGACCCCAAACGCTTCCCTATCCTCTATCCAATTCTTCCTCGCAGCCTCCCCCTTCGCTGAAGACGGAGACAAGCTTGACGCTCCGACGCCAACACCACCGCCGCCGCCGATAGCTGCGCGCCAGGCCCGCTCTGCGGCATCGATGGCGCCAGCGTAATCGCGCCTCCAGATCCGTTCGCGGGCGACGAGCTCCCATAGTTCCGAGCGGGTTGTGATGAGGGGAACAACGGATTTTTCGACAAATTCACACACCGCGCGTTCTTCAGTACCCCGAGGAGGCTCGTAAACTTTGCTCTCATCATCTCCAGCCGGTTTCTCCTTAGAAAGGACTCCCTCGTTGAGCAGGACGCGCAACACAGAGATATCAAGCACGTCTTCGGTAGACTTGAGACGAACGAGGTTACGCAGGCCAAGAAGGAGGTCTGACACAGGGATGGGGCGCATGCGGTAGGCGAGAGTAATAACGTTATCCCAAATGCGCCAATTATCATGGGCGATGTTGGCACCTTTCTTATAAGCGGCAAGAGACTGAGCCAGGAGTGTGGCTGGGTCGCGGTCAGAGGGCTTCTGGGTGTTAGTTGTGAGCTCCTCGTCGTCGTAGTCTGGCGAAAGGTCGACAGGAGCGTGTTGTTCAACTTCCCTGCCTTCCTCCTTAGCCTTCTTCATCTCCCTCATGCGTTCCACATAAAGACTGTATAGTGCACTGCCCAGGTTACTCCACGTGCGTGCATCCTCCCCTCCAGCAGCGTTATCGCTGGCAGCAATAGCCCTCCCAAAGGCATCAGCCGCCTCAGCAAAGTCGCCCAACCGCAGATTGATGTCACCCAGCCTGTTCCACAGCTCTGAGCTCAACCTATTGACGGAAACCGCCTTTTGATACGCTTCCCTTGCGCGCCAAATGTCCTTCTGCCGAAGGTAATACTCACCCAGCGACTTTTGGGCACGGGCATACCGGTGATTCGAAATCTCCCACGCCCGCTCGTAGTGCGCAGGGTCGTTCTCAATCTCACCCAAAATGCACCACAACCTAGGGGCATTCGGTGGCGGCGGCTGCCTCTCCGGACCCTGGAAATCTGCCTCTTTAAGTTCGTCCACGTCGGCATCCTCATCGATGTCGCCTTCAATTGTACCTGTGCGATGGAAGAGACGCCAGCGAAGAATAGCCTTGGCTTTGGCCTCTCCTCCGCTTCCGCGGCCTTCTTCGTCGTCGGCGGCTGCGCGACCTGCGTAACACAAGGCTACTTCGGCCCAGAGTCGCAGGCGCTTGAAGATCTCCATGGCTGAGACAAGAGAGCCAACGCCGGCCCAGGAGTAGGCGAGCTCGGACTCGAGATGCCAGCGTGGGGGAGAACTCAATGTGTGGATATACTCGAGACGGATTTGAGGGGGGGCCGTCTCGGTAGGCTTCGGGGCAGGGAAGAAAGTAGTCGGCTTGTTTTTGGGCTCTGTAGGCTTCTCATCCTCCCCATCTTCCGTAACCTTGATTTCAGGAAGCCCCGACTCGTTAGCCTCTTCACCCTTCTCCTTCTCCTCTCTAACAGGCTGCGTCGTGTCAACAACAACCTGATCCACAACCGCCTGCATCTGCAGCACACCTCTCTCGACCGTTCTACTGCGATGAACCTCAATCCTTGACCTAACCAGCAGCGCGTGCGTGTAGATTTGCCAGTTTGTCGACTTGTCATTGATCACCCTCACCGCAAACGGTAGGACCTCCTCCAGGGTAAGAGAGTCCGCCGGCGAGAATGCATCCTTGATAGTCGCCTCTGCCAGCAGAATAATCTGGTCAAGTGAGCTTAACTGAGGCTGCTCATCCGGCTTAAGGTCGCGCAGCGCTTCGGGCAAATCAGCCTTGGGATCGTCCTTCGGCGCGTCCTTGCTGAACTCAACGTTCTCCAGCAGGGTATCATCATTCAACGGGAGCGCCTCAGGCTTAGGCTGCTCAGCAGCATTGCCAGCATCCGCTGAAACCTCCCCGCTCTTAGCCAAAACAACCAACTGGCTGATATCCTCCTTCTGGAACTTCGTTCTTTTCCCCAGCGCACCCGACAGCGCATAAACAAACCCACTCAGCGCAGTCGCCCGCTTCAACGTATCTTTAGCCTTCCCCTCCTGCCCCAAAATAATGTGCACATTCGCCTTCTCAACCAGAAACTGCACCTTATGAAGCGCACTCCATCTCCTCTCCCCATTCAAAACCATCCCTTCCACCTCTTGCAACCCCCTCTCAATCTCCCCTTGCAGACTCGGCACGTCACACCACTGTTGACTCTTATTAAACACCGACCCCGGCCCAAGGTTGGGCGATGTCAACAGCTTATAATGCCAAACCCTGATACGCAGCGCAAGCCACCGAAGGGACCTTTCCGCGCCCTGCTTTTCGTCGAGTCCCAATCCCTCCGTGACATCATCATTCTCACTGATAAACCCTTCCAGAACAACGAACTTTGCCAATCCGAAAAGCTCCACATGCGGAATGTGCTCGTACACCGAGACACCATCCACATCCAGGGCGCGGAGGAATTGTGTGCGAAGGACACGACGCTGACTACCGCTGGGGAAGAAGCGTTTCTCGACATGGCGGATGAGCTGGTCGTCTAGCACGGGACCAGTGACGTTCGCTTGGAGGAAGGCGTTGAAGGCTGCCAGGCCGACGGCTAGCCTCTCACCGGGGGAGGGAGAACTTGTCGCATCCTGAGATCTGGTGATAGAGTTAGTGATGGAGGTGACATAGTCGGCAATGAGCTGCTCGGCCGGTGTGCTGAGCAGAACATCGAGGTAGCAACCGTTTTTGAGGAAATTGCCCAATTGACTGAGTGTTTCTGCCATTGTGCATATTTTCACTGAATAAGGAATGAATAAACAGTTCAAGCACTCACTGCCCGCAGCAGTTCATCGCATGCGCGATGGTGGAGCGTGGGGCCAAAATTATTTTCCCAAAATAAAGCGGGGCATAGCGGGGTGATAAGATAAGGCCCCTGTCATACAACGTCCAACAACACCCACCAACATCAAACATCACGTCAAAGCCCAACAGATGGTAATGGTATACACTTGACTATCTCCGCACATCGTACTCTACAGGCACGTAAAACCACCTACTCACACCATCACATGGCAGTCCGCTGTCACCCATAGGACAAACCCCCTTCCTACACATTTATTTCTTTCCCTTCTTCTTGCTCACGACCCTAAAGCCGGGCACCTCATCCTTAAGCGCATTATTATGATTGCTGTTTCCCTTCTTAGCCACCTCGTTCCAGCCACTATTGTTTGGGGTGCTGATGGCGCTGACAGGGTCTTTTTCGACAATACCCTTGTCAGCGAGCTTCTTGCGGCGGACAAACTCCTCAGCGAAGTGGCGCCCGTCCATGGTGGTGCTGTAGCTGTAAACCGCCTCGGCCAGGATGGTTGAGTCGAGAGGCATCTCGAGCAGAGTGGCCGCGAACTGGTCGACTGGGGAGACGTTAGCGCAAAGAAGGAACAGTGGAGACAGAGACAAACTTACTGTCGGCAACCCCAATAAGGCCGCGGGAGAGCTCGCGGTGCAGCCACTTCTTGAACTCCTCCATGGCCTGGGCCTTGGCATCTTTGAGTGAAGTCTGAGCAGGCTTAGCGGCCGGCTTGGAAGCAGCCGGGGGAGGGGTGGGCTTTGCGTTGACAACACTTGCAGCACGGTTCTGAGCAGCAGGACCGGTGGGAATCTTGACCTTGCCGCCGGGACCAACAGTAGCCCAGGCACCACCCTGGTTGGCTTGGGCTGCCGCAGCCGCAGCCGCAGAAGAAGGGCTGGGAGAAGCAGTACCCTTACCAGCGAGATCAGCATAGCGTTTCCCCATAACAGAGGCTTGAGCAGCGTTGGCTTGGGCCGCAGCAGCAGCCTCCTTGGCTTTTTGCTTGCGCAGCTCTTCCTCGCGCTGGATCTCGGCGAGGGTCTTCTTGGGAGCTGCAGCAGCGCCACCAGCCTTACCGCCAGGCTGCTTCCAGGGGCTACCACCAGCAGCGTTGGATGGCGAACCAGTGCCCCAGGTGCTGTGGGGAGGGAGACCAGAAGCTACAGTGGCAGCAGCACGCTCACGCTCACGAATAGCAGCAGCCTCCTGCTCAAGAGCAGCACGGCGAGCAGCAGCAGCAGCCTCTTCCTTCTTAGCAGCCTTGCGAGCCTCGGCCTCTTGAATCTCCTTCAGGCTGGGGCCTTTAGGCGGCTCCTGGCCAGGCTGAGGGGCCCACGGAGCTGTGGGGGGAGGAGCAAGAGCAGGAGTATCAGGAGTGGTATCGGGAGTGCCGGTAGCAGAACGCTCGCCGAGGCGAGCAGCAAAGTTCGAGGCCGGACGCTGAGGAGTCGGCTGGATCGGCGGCGGGAAGGGCTTGGGAAGGTCGGAAGCCTGCGACTGCTGAGACTTGGCATTCTCGGCCTGAGTCTTGCGTACCTTCTCGGTGAGGGTTGGCTCAGAGGGCTGGGCAGACTTTTTGGATGACGTAGCAGTCGCAGGAGCAGTAGTGGCCGATGCAGGAGTCGCGGTCGTGGTCGGCTCAGGCTGAGGGGCAGCCTCCTTAGCGGTCGGAGGTTGGGGCTGAGGAGCCGGCTCTTCCTTGGGAGACGGAGCTTCCTCCTTCACCTCGGTAGGAGCAGCAATAGGGGCGATCGGCCGGGGGACAGAGGCGCCCGGGGCGGCGGGGGTCGTGCCGGTCGGCGCCGCAGCGGCGGCGGCGGCGGCAGCAGCTTCAGCAGCGGCCTCTTCGGCATCGAACTGAGCACGCAAGCGATGGAATTCCTTTAGCCGTTCACTGAAACCTTCCTCGTCCTTCTGAAGCTGATCGATACTGGGGAGATTGGCGCGCAGAGAGCTAATCTCACCTGTTGTGGCCGGAGCACCCACAGCCTGAGATGCAGTGGAGGCACTCGTGGCCGGGAACATGCCAGGCATGCCGCCTAGACCCTGCATGCTCGCCAGCATCTGCCTCTCGTTAAAGTTCAAATCGGGAGAAAAGATATCAGATGGGCCAATGGGGCCCGGTGCGGGAGCTTGACCCATGGCGCTGTCGAAGAAGCCACCGGCGGGTCCGATGGGGCCAAGGGGGAGCTGAGGACCGCCCATGCCCAAAGGGTTCGTCAAGTTGCCGAAGCTAGGTTGGCTTTGAAGGCTGTGCATGCTCGACTGATGGTGCAAACCAGGGATGCCGGGCTGGAAAGGAGGGAGACGGCCAAACGCCGCGTGGTGAGCGGCCAACTCGCGCTGGCGGGCATGGAACATCTGCTCTTCCTGCTTGCGACGTTCTAGCTCGTTCTGCTGTTGGGCAGTAAGCGTGCGACCAAAGGACGGGAACGCGCTCTGAAGAGGGGGCACGGCCTCGTTTGAGAAGGGGCCAGGAGCCGGCGGCGGGCCGTGCGGGATACCCATCTGAGGAACAAGGAAGGGCTCGCGAGAGTTACCGATGCGGCGAATCAACTGACCGAGGGGTTCAAAATTGGGATCCTCAACACGCTTGACGCGCAGGTCTGGCGTAAAGAAGTTGGCCTTGTACCAGTCGTGCATCTCCAAACCGCTGAACGGGCCCTGGACGCAGCCCTGAGGATCCAGGTAAACCCAACGCATGCGGTCGGGCATGACCATGGTCCGGACGGGAGTCGGCTCAGCAGTAGACTGGCCAGACGGGAACGAGGTACCGGAAGTTGTGGTGAAGGACTGGGGCTGAGAGGCCGTCGAGGTGAGACCAGGCTGGCCTTGTTCGGCAGTTGAGCCCTGGTAGACGTCGTCGAAACCGCTGCGGACAGAGCGCCCAGGGCTGCCAGTGTCGCGGGGTTGAACGCCAATGGGGCCACGACCGATGGCACCAAGAGGGTTGGGCTGGCGCAAGTCAGACGCAGAATCGCCACTGAGGCCATGAGTACCGTCCTGGTCATGGCCATGCATTTGAGCTTGCATGGCAGGCGGGAAGAGAGACTCGAGCTTGCTGCCACTACGGCCGAGTCGCGATGCGCCGGGAGCGCCAAACACGCCGCCAAGACCGCCTAGGCTAGGAGATGATAGTTCGTTCAGAGGACTAAAGATATTGTTACCAAAGGCGCTCTGGAACGGGGCGCGCTCGCGGTCTGGAGTGCTCAAAACCGGACCGGCAGGCCAGCCCGACAACGGATGGACACCGCCGAAGCCCTTAGCACCAACGCTAGATGTCTGGCTCCTATCAGTGGCGTCGAATGCGGAAGCACCGAACGAGCGAGGGAGAGCGCCAAACCCAGACGGCTGGTCGGTACTAGAAGCAGGTTGGCCGAGTTTGTCGTCAAGGTCGCCTGGGTTCTCACCGCGATCAGCAATGGGGCTGCGATAGGGGTTCGTCTCAGACGGGCTGATGGGGCCATTGGCATCACCAGCACCACCTAGGCTCAGGGCTGACATGCCAAAGTCACCGGCACTGCCGCCCTTAACGGGAGTGTCGAAGACGTTACGCTGAGCCGGAGCAGCCGCAGTATGAGGGGGGCTGTTACTGCGACTACCGCCCAGCAAAGCGCTAGCCGTAGGAGGGGCGTCGTCAGCGGAAAAGGGATCCGTGTCGGTACGAGGACGGGGACGCCAGGTCGGAGCATCGCTGGACTTTGTCGTAGCAGCCGAGACCGTATTATCAGACGAGTCCTTCGGGATCAGGTGAGCAAGACGACTGCCGCCAGCGCCGAAACGCTTGTCCCCAAGGACAGGAGTCGGCAGAGCAAAACTACCAAAAGCGCCAGTCGTACCCCAGAGTGAAGCAGACCCACCGCCAAACGCCGGCGTGCCACCCGTAGTGTTGCTGCGCAGGGCACTGAACGGCTGATTTCGAGCCGGTGTGGTGGCCTGCGCGCTGGCATCCTCCTCGGGCTCATCCGTAATGGACTCCTTCAAGTCAGTACCGCGGCGAATCCACGGTTCATCTCGAGCAAAGCGGCTAGCAGTCGGCGAGGCAGTCGAGCTGGTAGGAAAGGGATTGGTGTCGGCAGTCTCGCGACGACGGGTATTTGGACGGGAAGCAGTCGAGGGTGACGAGATTTGGTAGTTGGCATTACTGCCCAGGCTAACCGAAGCCTTGCGACCATTAGCCGGATTACCGTCTTGCTGGTTCTGTTGATTCTTTTGCTGGGGCGGTTTCAAGGTCGAATTCACGTCGGTAGCAAAGATCTCACGCTCCTCAGGCGACATGGCCTCAAGACTGATGGGTTTGACGGTGCCATTGGAGTCCCAACAAACAGTCGGGTCCTGGGGCACGGGGCCTGAATCAGCGGCTTTACCCCATGCTCGAGGCTGGCTGGCGCCAGTGGCGCTACCGTTGACCTGGTTTGGATTCCAATTTGGCATGAAAAGACTCGTCGTGTCAGTTTGCGGAGGGGCACTCTCGACGTGGTTGCGATAGATATCCAGCAGCTCCTCTCGAGTATACCGCGGGCCGTTGGAATCGGCTGCGGTGGTCTGGCTCTGGGATTGTGTGGTCTGAGCAGGGAGGTCGGTTGTGGCAGTGGTAGAGGTAGTCGTGGTGGCTGCAGAAGTCGTCGGGGCCGAGGTCTGCGACACGTCGGTCGTGCTGGCAGTGGCAGACTGATTGAAGGGAGTGGTCGAGGAGCGGCGAAATGTTCTGGTGCCGTTGGAGCGAGGCCTGGAAGACAAAGTTAGAGACAAAATGCTATTATATGCAATCAATGGCCTCGACAGGATAGGCACAATGGGCGGAGTCGGTCGAAGGCAGGCAATAATCATGCCTATCTTGAGTGGCGAGTCACCCCAAAAAATTTATCGATCCGGCAACGAGATCAAAAAATCGACAAACACCGCAGGACAGAACATGGCAAGGATGAGAATGTGCACACTTACCATTCACCACTTCCAGAGCCGCGGCCCAAATCGCTTCGGCCGGTGCCTCTGGAGTCACGGTTCTGGCCGGCAGCGGCAGAGGCAAAGCTCGATGGTAGCTGGGGCATGATGGATTTGGCTTGGAGATGGGTTTTTTGTGATCGAGATGTGATTGGAATCGATGGTGAGGCGGATCGTCGGCAGTCAGGCGCTCAGGAGGCCAATTGCCGCAGGGTGTGCTATGTGTGGGTGAAAGCAGTCTAATGGTCGCGTTGCGTGCGCGGGTCGTGCAGCGGGAGTGCAAATATCGAGGATCGATCGCGGTGCAGTGCGGGAGGCGAGTGTGATGCAGTGGCAGCAAGGCTCGAAGGAGGCAGAGAGGCAGAGGGCAGAGCTCAGTCCAGTTCCCTTTTTTGCAAAGTTTCAACGGGCGCGTGGAGTTAGAGCCGTGCCGAGCCAGTCCCGCATGGTTACGTGATCTGGCACGTGACTACTGCAAAGTCAAGGCTCCACTAAATACAGGGTGCCCACGGGGTTTTCGTGTCTACACTCGTGAGAAAGGTTTTCAGAGTCTTCTCCACTTTTCTTGCCTTTGTTCCGCGCAGGCACTTTATTGTCCGGCCAATGCGAGTTAAAGATGACGTTGACGGCGAGCATGGGCAGACATGACTGACTCGATACACGTCAAGGCTCATTCACCAGTAATTGGCATCCCGTTTGTTGTTCACATACTTATTTCCACGCAGTTACTAGAAGTATAATTTCCGATTTACATTAATTCCTAGTCTCAGCTTCTCTCACAGTGAATTGTAGCAGCTCATTAGATGGGCATGCATTCTCATCCGTCAGCTTCTTCGCCGTCTCCACGCCGGCCACAGGTACCCTGAATTCAAGTTGTTTGCTAGATGCCAGGCGGTGGCCTTCCGGCAAGGGATATGGGAACGGAAGATATTCCGGTAGCAGACCCAGCTGACGCAACACCGTCCCTTGGTCCCAGGCAATATGCTCATGATAAAGCCGGTCACCGCGGATGTTGACGATGCTGGTAAAGGGGATGCTCAGCTTTTTGTGTGTCGGCGGGATCCCAGGGATCCTATAGGATCAGCTCAGTTTTGAGAGTACACAGACAGACTTATCGAACTAAGGGACTTACAGCCAGTCAATCTCACAATCGTGCGTGCAGTTGAGCAGAAACTCGTCTACAATCCGATCAATGCCAACTGTCCGGCTGACCAGCTCAAGCTCTGTGTCTCTCGGGTTACTGAAGATGAAGTGGTCACGATAAAAGTTCGTCAGATGAGCCCGACCAATCCCTCCTGTCAACACTGGGATATGGTTGACATATGGCTGGTCAACCATCGTTGCCATCGTCTCCTCGACGCTGCGGTCCGCGAACTCAAAGTACGTGTGCTCCTCCCAGATCTTCTCAAGATCGAAGTAGGGACCATCCATCAGCGGCTTGAGAAAGGTCAGCGACCGCGTGTGCGACACTGACGATGCACTGGCCTTGTAGTCGGGACTGGCTGGAATATTGAAGAAGCCTGTTGCTGAGGGGTAGGTGTATACTGTTGCTTTCACCTCGCTTTTCGGCGCTTCTTTGGCTCCGAGGTGAACGAGTGCTGGGACAGGAGGCTCACTGGTTGGGCGACATCCGTAAAATACTGATGCCACGATCTCAGAGTGAAAGCGGATGGCCTCAACCAGCTTGCCTGTGTCCTTGTCATGGATTACTAAGCTTCGATTAGCAGAGGAAACAACACTCCAAGGACTTGTAAGCATTACCAACTAGCCCGAACTTATCCCCAGTAAGCTCCGGGAGCTTTTTCAGCTCCGCAATAGCAGTGCTGAGCTTCTCTTGAACGTCATCAAAAGAATCATTCACAAGGACTTGGGCAACCGCGTAGCTTTCCTCAGCCCATTTCTTCAGGGGAGGGGGGTCCAATGTCTTGTCATCTTCGCTGAGGTCAACAGCCGTCGACACAACCAACACCAAGCCCGGACCACCGCCTCGTCGTGAGAGAGGCGGCTGGATCGTGATATCCGGGCTAACCTGGACAGCCGGGGCTGATGGGAACTTTGGGGCCATTGCGTTTCGCTGCTTGCTTGATGGAACGTTAAGTCGCCCTGTCTCCTTCCAGAAAAGATATAAGTCCTCATCAGAAGAGGTCCGAGAACCGATGTTCGGCAATCTGTTCCGCACTTAACTCCACTTAGCGCCGGGCGCGGCTAAAGAGCTCGGAAAGGACTGTGCTCGGGCCGTTCTGGTTCGGAGTTCTCTTCCGAGCGAGGTGCTTTATATGATACAGAGAGGGGCAGATTTTCGGGACAGTCACTTCCAGGTAGGAAACGATGATGACTGGAACAAGAACAAAGGAAAATTCATTTGACATCCAAATATCAAAGTTAACCCGGATTGCTCTCATCCCTCGTCGTGTGCGATGCGGCACAGCTTTCCAGATCCAAATAGGCCTCCTTATTCACTGGCGGCTTTCCCAAAGTATCCATCTTAAACACAGCTCCCTCCACACAAACCGTAGCACTACCAACGGGACGAATGTCCGACTTAGACCTCGTCCGCCGTCCCGTACCTCCAGCGCTGGCCCCTGACATCGCGCCCGACATCGCAGACACGCTAGTGCCGGTCTTCTTCGCCCGCCAGAACCGGAAGAGCGACTTGAGCCAGGGTACACAACCGCAGATGATACCCAGGTGCACCTCGATGGCGGTCCACATCCACAGCTGGAAGCCCTCCCAAGTCACGTCATATGTCTCGTTGACGACGTGATGGATCCAGTAGGTGCGCAAGCAGGCTGCCACGACGACAACCAGGCCGAAGCTGAAGAGGACAATGAGCGCGATGCGCTGGGAGAAGGGCAGCTTGGCTTGGTAGAGGGCTGGCAGTGGCAGGACCCAAACTAGGAGGTCTGAAGCGACTGTGAAGGATGCGTGAGCGATGAGAGCGGACCCTTCGCTCAGGCAATCATCGGCGTGGTTTGGCCCCAGGTTCCAGTAGCTTGAAAGGGGACTGTCGGTAGTTAGTGAATTCAATCCAGTATAGACAATTACGGAGTTCGTGACACTTACATGCACTGAGTAAAGAGGACGACGAAAAAGGCTATGTTGTTCAGGATAACGAACCAGATCGTGGCAACTAAAATAGTCAGGTCGTCTGTTCCCTCTTGACATTCAGGGGCAAGAGCACATACTGGTCAGCCGCCGAAACAGCGACTTCGCCGGTGCTAGCCGCAGATAACTGAGCAGGATGGAAGTCTTTGCGAGACATGTCGCGCCAACAAAGATGGCCTGAGCTGCTAGCGAGACTTGCCTTCCTGAGACCATCTTCATCGGCGTCAGATCCCAGACATGTATGTTCCAACCGTAGCGGGTGACTGCTAAAATCACACATGCAGTAATTCCGGCGCCAAAGATCTAAGAATCATCAACATCGTGGTCTCTGATCGCTGGAAGGAAGAGCGCTTACAGAAGCACCGACCATGAGCCAGTCATCCCAGTCAGTCTTGCGCATCATTACGATGCGGACGTAGAGACGCAGGGCGACGCATGTCACGGCAAGGAACAGAGTCAAAATCTCGACAACAATGAGAGTAGATCCGCGAGTCTCGGGATTGACATAGTTAGGCTTTGGCCATGTGGCCATCACCTCGGGCGGCGGAAGCCTCATTGTGGTAGGTGTTGTTGGGACTCGAAGCCTCTGAGGTCGAGAGGGCGGTGCACGTTCAGCAAGAGGTGATTGTATTTAGCACATGGCCACTTGCGGAGGCTCAACGACAGTGATGTCGAGAGCGTCGGAGGAGCCTCGACTTGTTGCTTCGCGCGTGTAAGTCCACCACAGTTGTCAATGGGTAACAACACGCCGAAAAGACAGAACCAAGCGGTCGGAAAGTATGGGTCATCGAAGCTGATAAATACCGTCTTCGCATGCGCGAAGGGCCTTGCCCTGCAAGCCCTTCGCGCCCTGTCTCTCATTTTTCTCACCCACCAATGTCCTTACTACCCAAGAGGAAACATCTCCGAAAACTAACAGGCCTTGGCCTGTCTGACCTCCACCATAGTCGCAAAATCTGGGGAAGCTGGGGACATTATCATCGAGATTCGATCGCAAAGATGACACTCCACCGCATCCTGTCAATGAGGGAGATTTGATTCCAACGGCCATGATCTAACTCAACTTCGATCCATTTAGAACAAGATTTTTCTTTTCTCTTGATCCAAATCCAAGGCGTTTCTCCCCTTGACCATTAAGAAGTTTGAGCCCCCGCGACGAGCATGAGGACTCAGCCCACCCCTCGCAGCTCACAGACCTCTTGCGACAGGCAGCCAGTATGTGAAGGGCAGCTTGGCGAGCCGTCCACTGTAGCTGTCGGCCAGTGCTTCTCGGGCAATCGTGCGGTAAGGTGCTTTGGATTCACCTCTCCACGTTTTCTGGGCCCATGTTCGCCATCGCTCTGCCCTTGTCAAGCCATGCACGGTTGTCGGGCTAGCCAGGTTAGGGAATCGTGGCCCGCTGTCGAGATAACAAGGAGACGAAGCGATTGGCCGGCGCCTGCACCGTCTTCCTGAACCTGGAAGGCCTTCCTGCAGACGGGCCAGGAAGGGAAACTGCCTAGCAGTGGCTTTTTGCACGACTAAGGGCTCGTCGACGACGATTCGGCTGCCGTCCGTAGTGGCACTGCCCTCCAATGCGGTTTTCGTCCCAGGAGTGTGTTCCCACGAAAAATCAGAGAGCGCTAGGTGTCCTAAGAAGTCGATAAACCGTTCCCCAAGTAGCAGAAAATGGCTAGGCCTGGCAGATTTTCAACCCTGAGTTCAGGTGCCGTCCGGACTGGCCGCTGTTCACAATAGGAAAGTCTTGGTGCGGCAAAAGTCGTTGAGGTTGAACCGGGCAAGCGATGTAGCGTTGAAGGCTCAAGCAGGGTCCAGGGGGTTGACAAGTTGCGCCCAAAGGAACGAAGGCCAGGGTTCAGGCACTTCCCAACGATCAGGGACCCATGTGAACCATGGCACCACCAAACGGCGTTGACAATATGCTCGATTCAAAGATCTCTGATGATTTTACGGGTAACATAGTTGCTTCTTACGGAGCTCTATCTGACCTGATTATGATCATCAACGCCATGAAAATCGTAACCAACGTTCGTTGCCCATCGCTATCAATCACCATCACGATGTTTGGCTGTGACAAAACACAAGGCATTGTCAACACCTCGGCACTCCACAACCGAACCAGACCCCTCCTGTGAGCGGCACAGAAACCGCATGCAAGCCACTGTACGGATCCGTAGCCGCCTCTTCAACCGGCAAAGATTCACGAAACGCACACTTGCAGGGCCTGGATGCCGACAACCGAACCGTCGTCAACCATGTTTCTCCCGTCTCCATTCCGTCGCCAAGATGCCAGCAAGCGGCGCGGACTCACGCATAGAGAAGCACATGCCAAGGAATATATGGTGTAATTCTCCACATGACGACCAAGCCATAACACCTCACCATCTCGCCGGCTTAACGCGGGAAAGATGCGCATGCGAACCATGGTCTTGGGCACGCCCAGAACAGCATACGCATCCGTCCTTGCAGGGCGGGGTGATGATCGACAGCGGCCGAGTGCATGAATTGCTTCTGCACTATACTACTATACCATAGCCATAGTCCAAAATATAAAGGGAGGGGTTGCAGTTATGTCCCGTCTAAGCACTACCGGTGCTTACCATTTGGATGCGTCCCTCGACCTGCGGCGCTATAGGCTTCGTCCAGTTCACATCACACTCCTCCTCGGGTAGATTCTCGTACGTGGTGCCGTTCGACACACCGGCTTTATGACACCACTTGCGGAAGTAGCGGCGCATGATGGCCAATTCTCTGTCTAGTTTGCGGGCGTCCTGTCGAACGCGTTCAACATCCGATCCAGAGTCGCTTTCACTCTCGTCATTCTCGGCTCTTCCAACGAGTGGTGAGATGTCGTCTCGCAGCTTGCGGAGCTTGGCTGGCGTCCACTCACCCCAGCCCTGGCTGCGGGCAAACTTGGGGTCGGCGGGCTCGGAGGGAAGAACGGTTAGGGAAGACCCGGTTCTCTCCATGACTGGGTGACTCTTGGCGATCTGCTTGCCGACTTTCGACCTATTTCTTTACTGTTAGCCTGTGGCTCTACCCATACTTCAGACCTCGGAAGTCTCAAGCAGGCTTACCAATGACGCTCCAGACTAGGCCCCCAGTTCTTCCATCTGGCTAACACAGTCAATGACATGAAGTATTGCCGCAGTAGTGCAGAGATCAGGATGCCATTCTCTTCCGACACAATCTCGTCACACTCTCCACCCTCGGAGCGTACCAGAAGGCTGCGATAGCCGTCCCTGCCGCGGGCCATGTAGCCCCGGGTGACGACGACGTAGACTCGGTCTGGATCGAGGGGCTCACCGCCCAGTTCTGCACAGACGATGCGCGATCCCGAGGGAAGGGAGGGGTTGAATATGAAGCGGATGTTGGAAACTTGGGGAAAGCGCCCTGTAGTGTTTTGTCAGCAAGGAAATCTGTGAGTGGTGAATTGAGTGGAAGGTGATAAATCGCACCTTCCAGGGCTGGATAAAGCGAGACACCGTTCTCTAGTGCATCCCAGATGCCCTTTCCCGTCACTTTGATGACGACCAAAGGATCCTCAAACGGAAAGCAGTCCGTCACATCCTTCAAGCGGACAGGTCCAGGGGCATACACCTGGTCGCCACGGATAGTGCCAGCTGCCATAATGGCACACTCTGCGCCATAGTAATGGCGCATGAGGTCACACACAAAGTTGCCCAAGTTGCTCTCCTTAGTCCTCACGGTCGTAAATCTCCCATCCAGCGGCGCTGCAGTCCAGCCGATAGGTCTTTCAAGGCTCTTTCTCAACTTAGCAGTCAACTTCTCGACCAGTTGAACTGTGTCTGCATCCTCAGGCACAGCTCTAACAATATCCCTCCGCCAGATATCCACATCCCAGCGACGACCGCTTTCTGGGTCTGCACGGCGCAGTTCGATGTAACTCAGCTGCTTAAAGTCCGAGCCCGACCGCAGTACGTGGACCCCGTTGATCACGCTATGTGCGTAGTAGTGGTCGTGCCCGCCGAGGATTAGATCAACCATGTCGCTACCCAGTTCCTCGGCAAGCTTGTTGTCATTGGGCTCGCGCATGTGGGTGAGAGCGATGATGATGTCAGCGCCTTCGGCACGTAGTTGGGGCACAAGCTCGCGGGCAACTTCGCTTGCGGGGCGGTAGATGATGCCTGGGGGGAGAGAGTTGATCGTCTCAAGCCATTCCTTCTCTCCTAGGCCGATGAGGCCGATCTTGATCCCGTTGGAGGCTGTGATGAGGTGAGTCTTCCCTGCGTTGCCTAGGGGTATGTCATCGCCTAGGCCCGGGTCGAGAACATTAGCTAGCAACCAGGGGAAGTTGCATTTGGAAGTGAGATGGCGGTATTGCATGACGCCAAAGTCGAGGTCATGGTTCTTGATTCCATGTCAGTACCTATCTTCCAAGGGTCGTTGACTTAGTTGTGTCCAGCATACCCCGACACAAGCACAAGCCGGCCCAATCAAGTTCATAATAGGGACCATATGACTGCCTGTCACAGCGATGAGCATACTCGAGCCAACATGCACTAACACAGGAGCCGACCTTTGGTAACGGAGCTCTCTAAGCTCGGATTGAACACATCCCCTGAGAACAGAGCAACCAGCTCAGGCTGACCCTGATAACGCTCTGCTTCTCGGTATTCCTTACATACGGTTATGAAACGTGCAATACCGCCGGCTGGTTCAGCTGACGAGGCGTCTAGGTGGTAGACGTCGTTGAAGTGGAGGAGCCTGGCGTCTGGCGGTGTGTTGAGGTCACGACCTGAAGGGAAGGTGACGATGGGATCGGCGCTCACAGAGCCCATGACTATAAAAATAATATTCAAACGAACTTAATATAGCACTTTAGCCTCTATGTTAGTGGTACCAGCCAAAACTACTGCAAGGTCAGAGTGAAATGGCGCTAGTTCTCGGAAGGCTTCATGTCATGTCCGGCCCAAGGGTGACAATGGTGGGGTAGCCGAGTGTCTGGAGGCAGTCGTGGAATGACCCCGCGGCGTCTCCAAACACCGGGCTGTTATTGCTTTCTTGACCTCATGTTATGTAGCGTCCAGGCCCACCAAGGCACAAAGCTAGCATACACTTGAGCTGGAAGAGATCCACATTTGCTAGTCGAATGAAAAAAACTTTGACAACTTCGTTTGACATGCGCGCCCTTGCGATGTCATTCTGGCTTTGGAATCCCGGCAAGTTGGGAAGAGTGGGATGTGCGGGGCAAGTCAAAACTTTATAAAGATCTCAAGGGCAGCCCAGTCCATGAGTGTGACAGCCTCGATCTTCAGTTGACTTTGACTGCCACGAGGTTACAGACGCACGGGAAAACTAGTACACTGAATACCGAGGCAAATTCTTAGTTTCTGGAATTCCATTTCTCGAAAATAAACATGTCTGCCGCTCCCATTATCCGCCATGCCCACCGCGAGGGTGAGCCTCACTAACCCTAACCTCACGTCCTAACAATCCCAACACCACGACTGACACCCCCCAGACGTCCCCGCGATTCTCGAACTAATCCGCGAGCTGGCCGACTATGAGCACGAGCTCCAGAGCGTCGAGGCGACCGAGGCCAAGCTGCTCGAAACCATCGCCTTCGCCCCGCCCGACGCCCCCGACCTAGCCGTGACAGGCAACATCCCGACGACAGAGCCGACATCCCCCTCTAGGCCTGCTCGCTGCCTCGTGCTCATCACGCCTGAGGGTGTCACCGCAGGTATTGCGCTGTACTTCTACAACTACAGCACATGGCGCGCGAGGCCGGGGATCTACCTGGAGGATTTGTACGTAAAGCAGAGCGAGCGCAAGAAGGGTTATGGCAAAAGACTTCTTGTGCAGCTGGCTAAGGAGGTTGTGGCCATGAAGGGCGGGCGACTGGAGTGGAGTGTTCTCAAGTGGAATGAACCGTCGATCAAGTTCTACGAAGCTGTTGGTGCGCGTATGATGAACGAGTGGGTGGGCATGCGCGTGGATGGGGATGCGCTGACCAGGTTGGCAAGCATGTTGGACTAAGATGTTTGTATACTACGCGAGATTAAACATACCCAGTTAATGTATAGCCTTTATTGTGGCATTGGCTGGGGCTGAGCTCTCCGCTGCTTTTTGCTCTGCTTCTCTGGCACGGGGAAGTCTCTAAAGAACTCAAGTTCACCCATTGAAGGCCTTGGCGGCATGAAGTCGGGACTGCCCCAGACCACTTTGAACGACTTGTCGTCGCCTTTTTCAATCGTAGAGCAGAGCTGCCATATGCTCTGATAGAGGCGCCGCCAACTACGCATCGTGTACTTGTGGCAGCTGAGAGGCTGTGGGTCGAACACTGGGGAGTGTTCGTCGACTGCCCCAGTGAGCAGCTTGTTGCGTCGATTTGCCGCCTTCTCCACGATAGCAACCGGTTTGACTGCATAGTCCTGCCAATTCCATGTTCGCGGTGGGAATATCTCTCCATCCAAAGGCTGGGCAACTGGCCGCCGAGGTGGGGGCAGCAGCAGCTTGGGGTCACGAATCTTGCCCTGTGCAAGCGCGCCTAGCATCTCAAACTCTTCCTTTGGGAGTGGCGGCATGATCTTGTCGGCCGCAAGCTTCCACATCTTTTTCAGCTTTGTTCGATACAACTGAGGAGTGAGAGGCTTGCCCCAGGAATTCTCCTTGGGGATGAAAAGCGCCGGATTGATCTGCTTCGCCGACAACTCTGGCTTTGGGATATCATGCAGACTAACGGAGGCCTGCATTCGTGCGTACTTCCCGAGCTTCTCAGTATCCCACTTGTCAAGCCAGTCGACCTTGCGGTTCTCCTTCATAATGGTTGCCGTCTCGGCCATATGCTTCTCCAGCTCCTCGTTGGTGGTCGCAATTTCGGGCGCAAGTAATTCCTTGACCAGCTGACGTCGTCGCCTTCCTGTTCGGCCAAATGCTAGCAGCATGATGCGCCGCATGCGAGGCATGTCTCCGGCGTTGGCAGCCCTCATACGGCGCAGCTCCTTGTGGGCATCTTTGATGCGCTTTTTTGTCAGTTCATGGTTGACGTCGTCCTTCTGGTGTTTGCGGAAGCGCTCCTTAATTTGGATATCGACTTGTTTGCGGACGAGCCAGGGCAGATAGGACGATTCGCGCAGCAGATGTCTGTAGAGGTGCAGCGTCGTCTGGGGATGTGGCAGCCGTAGCGGTCGCGACATGGTGAAAGCTTCAACCTGCCCGCTGTGCCTGCTCTGCGCCCGTTGTTGATCGAAACTTACGAATTCTGATTCGGGAAAGTGACCTGAGACCAAGCAGTTGGTCCGTGCGTGATGACCGACCCAGCAGGCAGGAAGATCCGCCACAGAGATCCGTGCCCCGCCTGCCTTGGGGCACAGGGCCCCATTAAAAGGAGGCGCGTCGCCGGCTCCACACGCTCTCCAGGACACGCCCACGCAGCGAGAAACACGAAAATCACACGCTCACCCGTGTCTTAATTGATCGCCAACGCGAGGACTGGGATACCTCATTGGCGCCGTCTGCAGGTTGCATACACCGGACTGTTCTCTGGTCAAGCATCGGACGTTTTTTTCTTTTTGGTTTTGACGACGGCCAGCTTCGGCCAACGGCTGAAAAGCACAGCATCTCTGCGCTCCACCACTCTAGCCGGTTTTACGTGCAACCGCCTTGAGTCTGCGTTCGCGCTCTTCCACTTCCCTGTCGCGATTGTGGCCGCATCCTTACCCGCAGAGCTTCCTACGCCTCACGTCTCTCTACCTCACAATTGGGGTTCGGCATCTCTATTGCCCTCATCCGAGAAAATCTTTATCACCCACTGGGACGTCTCAACCAAGCTGCATCGACTCCCAGCCTGACCTTCAGCCCCAGCATCAGCCTCCCAAAGCTCATGTGGTTCGCCAATGAGTAGTTGATGCATGTGATTCGACTGCTACAAGCAATCAATCACACCCCTCTGCCCTCTAATTCCATACTCGGTTCTCAAATATCCCTCCTGGAAGATGCAACCGCCACAAGCATCGGCTGGGTCGCAGCAGGTCCAGTCGCAGCCATCTTCACAGCAATCCTATTCTATGAGCCAGCCTTCATCGCAGACGAACACGCAATCGGGCTACCGACAGTACACTGAGCCGCCCAAGTTAAACCCGGAGCCCGACATGGAGATCTATTCGGTTCGTACCCTTCATTCTTGGCTCGCCATTCCCTGCTAACTCCTTAGGCCGTCTATTCCGGTGTCAATGTCTACGAGATGGAGGTCAACAACGTCGCGGTCATGCGCCGCCAGGCCGACGGCTGGCTGAACGCCACGCAGATTCTCAAGGTAGCTGGTGTCGACAAAGGCCGTCGCACTAAGATCTTGGAGAAAGAAATCCAAACTGGCGAGCACGAAAAGGTCCAGGGCGGCTACGGCAAGTACCAGGGCACCTGGATTCCGTACGAGCGCGGCGTCGAAGTGTGTCGCCAGTACGGAGTCGAAGAGACACTCAAGAAGCTGCTTACCCACAAGCGTGGGCAAGAAGGCCAGGGCGCTGATGTCGACACTCCGACCAAGGAGCAGGCGATGGCAGCCCAGCGCAAGCGCATGTATAATGCTGCTTCCCAGGAAAATCGCGCCAACGGCTCGTCGGGCACATTTTTCAAGAACATCTCGTCGACTGCCTCGCATGCCATCAATGCGATCAGCAAAGCCCGGTTCGACTCTCCTGGCCCACGCAATCGCAATGGCTTGTCAACGCGCGCGCCTAGCTTCAATCGTCAACCGTCGATGCAGGAGGGAGATAACCCGGCCAACTCGCAGCAGAGCTACGTCTCGGATTTTGCGCATGGCGACCAGGCTAGTCAAGGCCAGGCGGCGGAAGGTGGCGAGCAGCCCCCTAGGAAGCGCCAGCGTGTGTTGACGCCTGCTAACAGCTTTGGCGGCACAACTCCCAACTACCCGCATCCCGACGGTGGCTACGGGGCTAACTTCCCCGGGTCGCCTACGGAGCCGAACGAGTCGTTCATCTACTCGCAGCATGGCGTCGTCGATCCTGAGGCTAACTGGGCGCCTGGCCCGTTGCGTCCCCTTCCATGGGATAATGGCCCCGAGGCCGAGCATAAGCGTAATATTTTGATGAGTCTATTCATGGACCAGAACCCGCCAGATGAAAGCAAAAAGCGCTTGCTGCGCGGCATGATCCCGCAGGATCTGGATGCACCCATCGATACGCAAAGCCATACTGCCGTGCATTGGGCTGCTACATTGGCTCGGATACCACTGCTGCGGGCCCTCATTGAAGCAGGCGCCAGCCCATTCCGTGTTAATGCTGCCGGCGAAACGGCTCTGATGCGGGCATGCTCTGTTACCAACGCTATGGACCACAACGCCTTCCCTGAGCTGCTCGACGTTCTCGGCTGCACCCTCGACGTGCGCGACGATCGCGGCCGCACTGTCCTGCATCACATCGCCTTCACCAGCGGTGTCAAGGGACGCAATGCTTCATGCCGTTACTACCTGGAGAGCCTGCTCGAGTGGGTTGTGCGCCAGGGTAGCGCGCCGAGCACTCAGAACCAGAATAGCAATGGCCCCGTGGTCCCTAAGATGTCCATTGGCCGGTTCATGAGTGAGATTGTTAATGCCCAGGATAATGCCGGCGACACGGCCCTCAGCATTGCTGCACGCATCGGCAACCGCAGCATTGTGTCACAGTTGCTCGAGGTCGGCGCGGACCCGAACATCCGAAATCGGGCTGGCTTGTGCCCGGTCGACTTCGGTATCGGCACTGAGGACCACGTCAATGGTGGTTCAACAGACCGGAATGCCTCTCAGGGGTCGAGCCAGAAGACTAGCCAAAACAGTGAGGCTGTTGTTAACTGTAGGTATTATCCCAATCCGTCTATGTACATGTCTGCTAACAGGATCACAGCCATTTCCAACCTCATCGAGGAATCCTCATCCATCTTTCAAGACGAACTCAAAAAGAAGCAGGAGTCCATCGACGCCCTGCACAGCTCCCTACGCACAACCTCGGCACAGGTTGGCGAGGCTCGTCGCGCGCTTGAAGCCCTCCAAGAAAAGCTCAAAGCCCAGCAGCTAGCACGCCAGAAAGTCATCAACCTTAAGCGGGCATGCGACGAAGAGGAGTACCATCTCCTACAGCTGGAGCAGCGCCACGGTAGGCTGGATGTCGCGAGCGAAAATGCTTGGGAGATGGAGCTTGAGGCGGTCATGAATGCGCTTGGGTTGGTTAAGGATGGAGAGGCTACGTCCTCGCCGGCAAATGTCACTTTGACAGATGCGGCCAAGGAGCAGATTGCTAAGTTGCCGAGTAGTGCTGTGCTGAGGGCCAGGATCAAGGCGTTGCGTGAGAGATCTGCGCAGACAGAGCAGGCTGTAGAGGATTTGCGGGCGAGAAGCAAAGAGCGCGAGATGAAGTATCGTCGGTTGGTCGCACTGTGCACGCGCCGGCCGGACAGCGAAGTTGACGCCCTGATTGACACGCTCACAAAGGCAGTCGAGTCGGAGAAGGGCGAGCTCGAGATTGGCCGCGTCCGGCGGTTCTTGGGGGGCGTCGAGGGTGCTTCGTTGAGTTGATTTCAACGTTTTCGTTTCTTTTGGGTTATGGTGTACATATCCGGTTACCGTTTGCGTTTTTGCTAGTTGTTTCAGGGTTCTACAGGCTACGTTTGCATTTCTTACGGAACTAGGATAGAAAAGGCCATAACGGGATGGCTCGGGACGGGTGGATACACAGGAGCCTTCGATTTGATGAATTGTTTACGGACAAGCTTTCACTCAAGGGCAGCGTTAGGTATCATTCATCCATCATCTAGTCTTTATCGTAGACAGCCAGTATTGGTGTTTTTGTCGTGATTATGATCCGACACTGAAGCCGAATGACCCGTCGAACACGTCCAGCGCGCCGTCCGGGTGGCTCCGCATGTTCCTCAGATCATTAAATGTCGGCACCTTGTTCTCAGGGTAAAACTGTAGCAGATTCTCCAGGTCCTCCTCGGTCAATTCGCAAATCTCCTCGAAGCTGTACGCGTCGCTGACCTTGGTCATCCAAGCCATACGGCGCGGTCCCTCCTGCGGTGACGGAGCTATCTGCCTTAACCGAACACGTAATTCTCCAATTGTCTCAATGGCCCTGCCTGCGTTAGACGGCAAACAGCTCGCGATAAACTTCCGAATCAAGCTTGCCAGCCGCGGGCCCTTGCCGTTCGTGCTGACCATGATTTGCAGCGGCCCGTCGCGGTGCACGCTGCCGAAGTAAAAGTCGCATTCTGGCGGCACGTCTGCCACATTGACGGGGATGCGGCGATCCTTGCAGAGGCGGTAGATTGTTGTTGAGGCGACGGGATCGTCGACCGCGATAAGAACCATGTCCACACCGTCAAGGTCGGAGGGCTGAAAGACACGATCGATGTGGGTGACTTGTTTTTGGGCGACGCGGTAGGCGACTTCGGGGTTTAAGCGGGAGGAGGGAGCGACGACGGTTACGTTGGCGTCAGCGTTCAGACAATGGTAGATGCGGCCGGCGGCGACCTGTTTTCTGTCAATATGTTGGTTCATGATGACAATGGTGTTGAAGGAAACATACCTCGCCGCCGCCGACGACAAGTACCTTCTTGCCCTTGATCTGCCAGGCAATTATGAGGCTACCGCCGCCCTGAATCTCGGGAAATTGTGATGATGCCATTCTGTTACTCTGAAGAAAATTGAAGCTGATAAATGTTTGGCGTTAGCCAACCAATGCGATATTGACAGAGCGCATCTCGAATTCATGCTCCGCGGACGAGCTTGACAACAAGAATCGCAGCGTCTTCATTGGCCATCCGCTCGCCGTTTCCGCGCCTCGCGGTCCCAGTTGTTGTGGTATTCGCTGTTCGGCTGCTTATCGATAACTACGATTGACCCGCTCGAGTGCAACTATCCATCAAATTGATTGGTCGCCTGACCCGGTTCGCCCCACGGGTTCCGACAAACGGGGTCGGGTTGGCCTGCTAAAGCCAACAGTGGAGGGCAGCCTCGCAGACTTGAGCTGAGCCCGCTGACGTCTTGTGTTTGGAACCTCAACGAGCACTGAGTGAATGCCGCAAGCCTGCTGTAGGCAACGCACGCTTCACCTCATTTGACCACGGGGCCTTTGACCCTCTGCGCTGCAACACAAGTTCAGTGCAAAACATGTTCCTTCTGCCGACAGCCCTCACCACAGCTTGGAATTGGGTGCTGCCGCATTTGTTGAACTGGTTCCATTAATCCTGCAGTGGCGCGTGTGGCTGCCTATATAACGACCTCGACAAAGACGACGATAATCCCAACGACATCCCCCACCCGCCTCTCTACGACCACAACTGCTGCCCCAACACATTGTCCATGTCCGGCCGCAAACTTGGAGGCGGCCGAGTTCTCGGCAGCGGCCGGGGTCTTGCGCCTCCAGCGCCAGCCCATCACCCGCGCGCTGTGAGCCCGTTTGCGCCGTCCGACAGTAGCACCGTCTCGGCACACTCGCGCAACTCGACGCCCGTGTCGCTGTCTCCTGCGTCGTCGAGTCCGCTACCAGACTATGCGCAGGACCTGGTGTCGAATGTGGTTACGGGGAATAGTGTGCCGACTAATGGGTCGGGGTCGGGGGTAAGAACCAGGTTGGCGTGTCCTATTTGTGAGGAGGAGATGGTATGTTCTGTTCGAAAGGGATTAATGGGGGTTTGGGGCTAACGAGACTAGGTTACGCTTTTACAACTAAATCGCCATCTTGATGACGCCCATCAAGAGCTACCCGAAGCCGAACAGGTAGAGGTCAAGTCATGGTTCGACAAGCAAGTCCTCAAAGCGAAGCGCTTCCAACCCCTCTCAATCATCAACCAGAAGCTCCGCGGCCTCGAAGTTTTCGAATCGAACGAATCGAACCCAGTCGCCGTGCACACGACGCCCGGTCGCCCGCTCGAAGTCGTCGACCCTGAAGAACTCGTCACCCGCAAGCACTGGCAGCGCCCGACTGGCCACGACACCTGCACCGATCCGCTATGTGACCGCAAGCTGGGTCCCCTGAGCGGCATGGTCAACTGTCGCAAGTGCGGCCGGTTATTTTGTGAGGAGCATACCATGTACCAGATGAAGCTCTCGCGGTCGGCGAATCATGAGCCCGTGCGAGGTGTGTGGTGCAGGGTCTGCGAGACGTGTTATAAGTCGAGGGAGGGATATAATGATCATGATGGGTTTGTGAGAGATCATACGGATTTTTTTGCAGCGATACGCACGAAGAAGGTTGATCGTCAGAGGCTGGAAGTGCAGCGGCTGGAGAAGAGGTTGACGAAGTTGACAAAGTTAATTGCTGAGGCTGCCCCTCTTGATTCGAATGGGAATGCTGGACTTCTTGCGCCGCTGGCCAGACAGAGGAGTCAGCGCAAGATGTTGGAACAGTCGGTCGTGACGTGGGAGGATGATGCTGCTGCGCCGAGGTGTCCGTTTTGCAAGCAGGAATTTCGCCCGTTGACGTTCAGGAGGCACCATTGCAGGATATGCGGGCGCGTGGTTTGCGCCGATCCTCAGACAGGGTGCTCGACGGAGGTTGGGCTGAATGTTTCCAAACGTAAGTTATTGTATCTCCTCTTTCGTCGAGTGTGAGGCTGACTTTCCCAGCTGCTGGACCCTCTCATGGCACACTCAGCATAGATGTCCGCATGTGTAGCGACTGCAAACATACGATATTCTCTCACCGTGATTTCTTAGAATCTATAGCCCAGAGCCCACCAGACCAGCGGGCTTACGAAACACTACGACAGTTTGAGCACGGCATCCGCTCGCTCATACCAACCTACCATAGAGCCTTACAAGCCTTACAACCGTCCAGTCATGGCAAAGGAGATTGGAGCTACAAGCCGCCTGCCTCACAAGCCCAGATTCAGGAAGCAGCGCGCCTGCGCAAGCGCCTTACCGACGCTTTTGCCAAGTATGACCTGGCCGCGAAACGCATACGGAACTTGAAGACGGACAGCCCGACGCAGCAGCGGTTACAGCGCGCCATATACGCTTATGCGTCGTCATTTTTGCATGAAAATTTGCTGCCGCTAAAGAGCGTACCTACGATACTGAGAACTCAACCGCCGAATCACAGAAGGTTAACATCTGGCGCGAACGGGACCGCGCACACTGCGTCGCCACTAAACAATGGAGAGTCGGTTAGCTCAAACACAGAGACTGCAAGCATCGGAGGAGTGAGCGAAGTCAGTAGCAGCACGGTTGCCGCGACGCTGGAGCACGAGGAGAAGGAGGCAAGGGAGAAGCTTGTTATTTTGGAAGAGCAGCGGTTTATGGTGCAGGAAATGCTCAGCAATGCCAGACAGGCAAGGCGTTTTGAAGAGGTCAGCGCGCTGGTGAGGAACTTGGAAGAGTTGGATGCTGAAATTGAAGCGGCTAAGAGAGTCGTCTCGGGCATTGAAGAGAAATGGGAAGGGTTGTATCAAGGGTTTGGATCATAAATGGTTTGCAAAGGGTTTGCCGCTCATGTTTTTGGAATCAGGGATTATTTGCTGATTGGGCGGTAGCATTGCATGGAGTATGGGCTGGGCGGGTTACTGAATAATAGCAAGCTCATTTATAGTCAAAATATCCCATTCCTGTTTGAAGAGCCTAGTTCTGGTGTCTGGTTGTGCCACACGTTCGTCGTGAGATCGGAACGTGCTAGCAGGGTTAGGGTTAACGGCATGGTTTTCATCAGCAGTGACGTCGTCTTCCCCACCGCCTAACACGAACGCGTTCCGGTCGTTTTCATCCTGCTCATTCATCGCCAACAACAAATGAACGTTGTAGCGGTCCGGTTAATTGCGTTTGTTATATGTATTACGAGAGTCGCCTAACTTAGAAAAGCCAAAAACATCCACAAATTTCTCCCTTTTACATTTTCTCAGCACGTCACCTTCGAAACATCTGGAAACGACATGCCGCCCAAACGGCGAACCTCAGCACCTAAATCTCCGCCTGCAGAGGAGCCCACAGCGGCCCGCAACTCCGAGAGTGAGCTCTTTGTCGGGCAAGGTAACAATGAACATGACGAATCTGAGGAAACTACCTCTTACGTCCTCTTCTACAACACCACCTTCTCAGCCCACCGCGTCTCACCTCTCTACCTTGGCAACGAGCCATTGACCGAGGGCAGACTTCGGATCTTGTCCCAACGTCTCCGAGACAGATTGGTTGGAGATGTTGTTCGCGGCGTGGAGGTCCGGCTTATTTCAGATGGTGAAGGATCAGTATTAGCAAGGGCTGGCTCCCTGGAGAAGGTTGAGATGGAATGGGTTAGTGTTGCGAGCGTGTTGGCACTGTCGAGGTCGAATTTGGAAGCCTTGAGCAAGGGCGGGAATGTGGAGAACTTGAGGGAGAAGAAGGCGCTTCATATAACGCTGCGGTACGAGCTTGCTTTTTGCACGGCGCTACTCCTTCCGTCTTTTGGACGTGGGGCAGAAAAGAGGCCGGAGGCTGAGAAGACAAAGTTCACGATTGGCGTCAATAGTGGAGGGGATGAGATGGACTGGGAGCCAACGGATGGGCAGACACAGTTCTTGGACTTGCCGCTCATGCTCATGAGGATGCCCCCTCCGCTTAAGGCGGTTGTTGCTGACTTCCTTGCTACGACGTTCGACTGCCGTGTCAGCCCAATGCGCTTGGGGACACGAAGCCTGATTGGAAGCTGGGAGTCATGGATTCAATCAGCTGGTGTCCCTACAGAAGGACCACTCGCAAAGGATATGGTGCTCACCCTTGGCTTTCACGTCCCGACCCCTGAAAGCGACTCAAAGGAGGACTCGGAGGATCATACCCTTGGTCTGAAAACCATCGACATCATTATTCCTGGCACTGAGTTGTCAAAGTTCGTTTCAGCCGGACAGCACCTGTCATCACAACCCCAACCCCCTCTAACCGACTGGGGATGGGAAAGCGACCTCAAGAAGCGCCGCGAACTTGCTGGCCGGCTCTACGAAGAGGGATGGGACTGGCGAGCCGACAAGAAGCAGCCTTTTACCGAGGCATTGGGTGCTTACATGAGCGAGCACCTTGCTGTGAACCTGTTCCATCCTGGTGTTCGTGTTGTCAAGATCGCTTGTGGAGGCTTTTCCATGTCAGAAAGTCGGCTCAAGGTGTTCGCTCCGGTTGACTCACAGGATGGAGAGAGCGGAGTCGCCAAGCACAAGTCTGCTGTGCTGGAGTTGCTTGGTGCTTTGGTTGAGAAGTCGCGGGTACTAATGCTAGGAGGTTAAGTTTGATCTGAATCGGACGTGGTAGTCACGGTGACTGGTTTGATATGATGCTTTCAGCACGAAGACAGCGGATGGTCTCAGTCCATCTAGGCTTCTTCGCAGCGATCTGATCGGCATATATAATGAAGGTTGTGCCTTTTTTTCCGAACTGGTGAGCCAGTGATTACATTTCAACGTCTTTGAACCGCTGGCCTGATCGGTAGAGTATGCTTGACAGCAGAGAACGCGGGGCTGACCATACGAAGTATATATTCTTCCGATCTCAAAGGTCATGAGCGACGCGTCTTGGACCCAGCCACATGACGGTTTGACGCAAGTGCTCGCAATACAGATCGTGCTTCCGAGCTTGCAGTTCCCGATGCACTCTCTTTCTTACGAAACTTCTCATCTTCGAGTGGATGCTGTTAGCCCCAAGCCTTGAAATCCCTGTTTACATCCCTGTTCACTCACGTTTATTCCACACAACAACTCTTCGCGGCATACCCAACCGAAGTCTCACTGCAAAACCATTACCAACGCGATCAGCCTAGCCCCGTCTAACCAACCTCAAATCTAAATCACTTGGTCTGACGTTGCTGTCGTGGGCACTTTCTAAGCCCATAAAATGGGCGTCTCAAGACCAGACGCATCAAGTTCAGTCCAGCGACCCGGGAGACGAGCGGCTTAGACCTGACCTGGCCCGCCGACTGCTGCCGCCCTCGGCGATCACCAGCTTCATTGTCCACACTTTAAGTGACGTCAGCGAGCAGAAAAAGACTGTCACCGAAGCCTATTGGCCGAACATTGTGGCCTGGATACAGACCGGCGCAGGCTCAAAACTCGATGTCATTTGTGACATGTCTCGAGGTAAAACTCACCATCTTGGGGCAGATGCCTTTTTCCCAGTCATTGCCCAGGACATCAATGAGGGGATATATGTCCTCCCCTGCGGCCACATCGGCGGCTTTCAGTGCCTGGCGGAGCTTGCAGTTATACACAACAGTGCACTTGTTCTACGGCCTTCCAGTTTCTGGTTACGTTGTCTGGTGCGTCGTTCGATGTCCTACCAGCCCGCGAGATGCCAGCAAGGCTCCCCATCTCCTCAGCGCAGCGACCGAACTCTCCGCCTTGCTCTGGCTCAAACGGCATATGCAACATGATGGTCGCAACTCCCAGAAGATACAAGCAATCACCGAGAACACAAAGAACTTGTCGAATACGGATATTGGAATCTACAACCCGCCCTCAGGATGGGGGGGCGAGTCCAGCGATCTACTAGGTTGAATTTATTGACCACGGATGTTGGAGTTCGCAACCGACTCTGTGTGCGGTGGGACAATGATAAAATGTCTGGAAACAAGCTCGGCCGCTCGCAATTAGCCATGTCTCCTGTGTATTTAGTGCAAGTAGGCAAGGGGGTCGAACTCGGACGACTACGTCTTCTGTATGCTAGACTTGAACAAGATTAGAATAGGTGAGAGGAAGCACAGTTGCTTAAGGGGGCAAGTGCCTTGGAGACTGAAGGCTTAGGGGAATTCGACAACGCCAAGAAATTCTACTGTACGTCCCACTGGTATGGGACTACAAGATCAAGGATTTAACGGCAAGAAGTTGGGCAAGTGAGCAACGCTCACATCGATGGCAGCTCGGTTCAAAACACTTGAGGTAGGATCTCTGAGTGCAAGGGCTTTGATCACGGTGTCTTGATTGGTGTGTTTCTGGACGGCATGCTCCTTTCCAGTTCTCAAAAGTCAGGCAGGGCCGAGGGTTAGCCCAGGGAAAGGGTAATGGGTAGGTGCAATGGATGAGATTGCTCAATTAATAGTGGTTCCCGGATTTCCTTCCTGTCGAGCAGTGTAGTTGCAAAACTTCTATCGCGATACTATTGTGCAGGCGTATATGCCCCCCATTGAAGGTCGATATCTCTTTCCTTCTTATTGTCAGTCAAGCTAATGCGGCCTTGGGGAACAATTCCACTGATAAACCGAATTTTTTTTTCCTCGTATATCTTTCCGCCGATCTATCCCACTACAAGTTTTTCCCTTTCCCTCGCGCATCACGCCTAACAGGTCCGTTTTCTTTGCCCCAGTTGTCCGCACTTTCACCTCCTCGCCTGCACCTTTCGCTTTTCGCCGTCAGGGGCCCAATAATACTTACCAGATGAAGAAACCAAGCGCTTGGCCAAGCGTCACTTGGTAACACCACTTCGGCTGCGCAGAGTGAATCCTTTTTTTCGTTCCTCATCCCATTGCGACACCTGATGACCGACTTCCAACTGTCCGGCGCCGCGATGTCTTTGCCCGCCCGTATCCCGGCCGCCAATGACACTACCAACCAGCAGAGCTGGCTACTGGAGCCAGATTCGTCCCTCCCATGGTTGGCCGTCGTCGTGCCCCTACTGCACGTTCCCCGACCCTGACCGAGAACTTCTAGCCTAACATCGCCCGGTGGATCGCCACCAGTAAATGCGCCAAGCCTGACGTCACCCGCCCCATTTGCCTGCGGGTGGAGCCTGTCATCTCCTATACGGGGCAGCTGTTTTGGAACGAGTGGAGCCAGGCCGAGTGGATGGAGCTGATGCACGTTTTGCTGTGCGGGCATGTCTTTGGGATGAAGTGTCTGGAGAAGAGGAAGAGGAGGAGCAAGAGCAGGATCAGGGGAAGGATCGGCGGGTGCTGCAGGGCTAGGCAGGATGGGATTTGTTTGCTAATTCGGAGACTGAGAGACTTGTGTCTGGTTGGGAGGACTTTTGGTGGGAAAGGGATGGATTTGAGGATGTCCGTGATGAAGAGTTTGCCAGCAAAAGATAGGGTTGCCAGCTTTCTCTGTTAATCTTACGGAATTTGCGACACGCGGAGCTCCGGCTCGATTCTGAGTCAAGGATTTGGGTTATACATCTGTCTCCTGAGGATTGGGAGGCTCTGCGTTTCGAGGAAGTGATGAAGGAGCAGGGACACGAAGTAGAGTGCCGGGCGGATTGCTCAAGTGGACATGTATGAGTTTGGGAAGCTATGTGGCGCTGGTCGCTGGATGGGTCAACTGATGATCATTTCGTGGACCTTTAGTTCTTTTTTTATTGACTCTTCATCAAGTGGCATTGGAGTTTGGGGGCGGATTCTGCCAGCTACAAGCTTAGATTAAGTTGGCTGAGGAAATGGTGGGACTCACGAAGCCTTATGGGAAGTAAAATATCGTGTAACTGATCTGGCCGCCAAGTCAGTACTGTGACACTTTATGTAGTTGGCAACAAAAATACAGCATGTTACTGATGTGATTGCAGGAAGGTCAGTAAAAAGTGTTGACCCGCACCCGATTTGAACGGATAACCTTTTGATTCCTCGAGTTTCCGGTAAGAATCGGAAACTGGAGTCAAACGCGCTACCGTTGCGCCAGCGGGCCTTCCATTTGTTGGGAATTGCAATTCCCTACCCCACATCATAGCAAACGCGCACACTTGACTTAGATGTTCATATTCCATGTTGTGTTGAACAGATGCTCTAAGTTGAAACAACATTCTCGCGAAGCAGACCTGCATCAATTCAACGTAAACAGTATTTGTCAAAAAAATCGCTCGTTGTACAGGTTTTACAGTGAACAAAGGAGAGTGATGCAACATTCTCTTGTGCAACCATCATGTCTTCGTTGCCAACTTCATCAGATTGTCTTTTTCAGATGCGGCCAATGTAGCACACAGATGTGTCCTCAACAACCAAACTAGCATGATCCTTTCTAAACACTGATTTCATAGCTTTATTTTGTCCAGAATCTGAAGATGATTTATCAGCATATGATTTTCTTTCCTCTGGACGGCCAGAAGCACTAGGATATTATTCCCGTTGTCAAGCATTTAAAGGCCATCTAGGTATGCTGCTACATTGAGGCAGACTTGCATTTGAGAAGGTGAGCGGACATGCACATTGAAGCTCGAGTCACACCAGAACATAGCCAATCAGCCAGTTTCTCAAATGGATGACCAAACTGATGCCCTTTTCAGCCGTATCTGACTATCATGACCTGAGCGAGACTGAGGACCCCGTACTTGGCAGCAGCCATTGAGAGTTCGTCGAACATTTCAGGAATTGGCAGCTTTTCACTCAGCTGTTCAGGAGTCCCGTTTATCGGGAAATGTTGCCCTTGGCAACTTCGCAGACCCATGGCAGAATGAAGCTGACCATGCCTTCGAAGAGAGGCTCAACATGTACATAGTCTAATAATGTAACTTTTGCTCGTCGTGGCCGCGAACACGACTTGGCACTCACAAGGGTGGAGCCGGTCGATGAAATTAAATTCATTCATCCATCCTAAGCGAGAGTACGCAATTGCAACGAGAGTTTGCCAACTCCTCCCGAGTCAGCACTCCTATCCTGTCTGCCCACGAGCGAGAGGCTGTTGGAGAGCTGACTCTGCGACTTAGGAGTTTCCACAAAACGAAGCCTCCTCGTGCCCGTTCTGGCCGGATATCCAAGCATGGCTGCAATCCTGAACCCGGCCAACGCCAGAGATAGTGAAGTGCTTTTCCTGCGAAAATGTAACTGCTCATCCCAGGGATTCAAGAAGATGATAGTAAACCAAAAGCTTGCCTTATTCAGTGTGAACATGCGGTTGGCGCTGAGTGTGGTCGTCTCTGACTGGTTAGGCGGTGGGGTCAGTGAAGATTAAACATTTGTCGGGACCAGTGAGGCCAAGTGCCTATATTGCGGAGTGAGGATTGAGATGCCGGGGAGGGCCCCACGGACTTAGCTTAAAGGCTATAGTTTTGAGCTTGAATATTCTAAGAGTTTATCGTGGAATTAAGTCCCCAGCACCTGTGTGCCACATCACTTGACCCTTGGCTGATGCCTGTGTAAGTCTCGACTAACACCGCCACTTGCAGCGCTGCGAAACCAAAGCCGTCAATCCTCCTCCTGCATTATGATGCTGCAACAACGATCATGGCACAAGCAGAGTGGTCAGCTGCTGCGGCGCCGGCGAATCTCAGAGATTGCCGAACGGCGCTAATCGGGCTCCAGTACCCGGCACCCGGGAATGTCTGGTGATCCTAGTGCGGAGAGAGCCCAACGGCAGAGATTAGAGATTTGCCAAGAACACATCGAGCGAAGCTGGGCTTGCGGCACGCTGCGGCAGTTGGAGATGTCACCGGCCCCGGAGAGTTCTTATTTTTAGCGAAGCCCAGCCCGTGCCGTTGTTGGCTGGGAGGCGTTACCACTCCCCCGGTGACTTGGCCTCATCGGCGAGAAATTCTCGTGTTTGTGTGTGTATGTCATGGGTTGTGTCGCCACCATGTTGAGTGAGATCTTGATCAGTTTAGGGCTTGCTATTGCCCTCACATATCTCGCACTGGACTTACCCCGGGTAAGTTTCTCCGGTTTTTGATTCTCGTTACCCCGCCAACGCGCAACTCTGCGTTAACCCTAACCTCTTACCCCTGAATCCAGCTACGTCAACAATGGAGACTGTGGGCCCATCGCAACGAACTCCCACCAGGACCAAAATCCATCAAAACCGGTATCAAGAAGCCATGGCTGTGGTTCAAGGAACTGCATCAGCAGTATGGAGATGTCGTGTATCTGCAGATGGGCCCAACGCCGACAGTGGTCTTGGGTTCGGCCCAGGCGGCCTGGGACCTCCTTGAGAAGCGCGGCGCCATATTCTCCTCACGCCCCCGCTTCATCATGGGCAGTGAGCTACTCTCTGGTGGCCTACGCGGTCTGATGGCGCCGTACTCTCCCTTCTGGAGGCGCTGGAGGAAGCTCCTGCACAGCGGGTTCATGCAGCGCCAAAGCGAGATGTACCGTCCGATTCAAAGTCTGGAGTCGAAGGTGCTTATGCAAGACCTGCTCCACGACCCAAAGAACTTCCGAGAGCATCTAGAGCGTTATGCGGCTTCCGTTATTGTTACTGTAACTTATGGCAGGCGAGTGGAGGACGTCAAGACTGACAAGGTCGTCCGCATGAACGCTGAGTCGATGACCCGGCTCACTCTTGTTAAGTAGGTCCTCCTCAAACGCACCCACTAATAACTGGCTAATTTTTCGCAGTATTCCAGGCAAATATGCCGTCGAACGGTACCCCCTGCTCAAACACGTCCCGAGCTTCCTTGCGCCATGGAAGCGGGAGGTCCTTGAGCAGCGCAGGAAGGATATCGAGATGTATACCGGCTTGATGGAGGATGTTAAGAAGCGGCTGACTGCTGGAAAGCTGCCGGATTGCTTCGCCAAGCATCTTTTGGATGAGCAGAAGAATCTGGGCATGACAGATCTTGAGATTGCTTACACTGCCGGGTCGCCATTTGGTGCTGGTGTTGAGACGGTAGGTCATCCTAGATGTTGGCACTGACTTGAGCTAACGCTCTCAGTCCGCTGGTTCTTTGGCTAGCTTTTTGCTTGCATGCGTCAAGTTTGGCCACAGATTTATTCCCAAGGCTCAGGAAGAACTTGATCTGGTTGTTGGCCCCGACAGGCTACCCACGTTCGACGATCTCAGAAACCTGCCTTACATCCGGGCCATCGTCGCTGAGACCCTGAGGTGGCGGCCCGTTGCTGTTTTGGGTGGCACTCCCCATGCTAGCACCGCCGACGACTATTATCGTGGCTGGTTCATCCCTAAGGGCAGCACGATCATTGCCCCTCTATGGAGCAGTAAGTCCCATTGCTGGCTTCACGTGCCAAAGACAATGCTGACGTTTGTAGTCCACCTCAACGAGAAGGACTTCCCCGAGCCGCACGAGTTCCGTCCCGAGCGCTTTCTCGAGCAGCGCAAGTACCCTGGTAACCTGGGCCACAGCGCCTTTGGCTGGGGCCGCCGCATCTGTCCCGGCATGCACCTCGGCACAAATTCTGTTTTGATCAACACTGCTCGTATCCTCTGGGGTTTTAACATCAAGCCTGCTGTCAATGAGAAGGGGGAGAAAATTGATGTCGATATGTAAGTCTACCTTTCTTCTCTCTCAGGGATGAACCAGGCTGACAATCACAGCTTTGCCTACTCTGAGGGTTTCAACTCTACTCCTCTCCCCTTTGAGTGTTCGATCACTCCACGCTCCAAGAAGCATGCTCAGGTTATTGAAAGGGAGTATAAGCAGGCGTATGAGCAGCTTAGGGTGTACATGGCGTCGAGCACACTTTAACAGAGGAGATGAGAATGACTTGATGACTTTCATGTAGTATATGCTTCAGGGATATCCATGAGATGAACGATCCTTTTGTACAAGGCGTTATGTATACCTCAGGCATTCAACTTCCTCTTAATGAACTCTAAAGCTTGCTGGCCGTACTTATTGACGTATTGCTGATGCGAGTTGGCGTCGTAGCCGTTGCAGCAGTACGGATCGGTCGAGTCGCAGTACGACTGGATGATGGATGGGTCTGCTGGCGAGCACTGGAAGCCACGTGGGCGAGCAGCGAACTGCATCTGTTAGTTACCCTTGTCCGTGTTTATCTTGAAAGACGGCATGACTTACCCCTTGAGCCTGGCAAGTTCCAACATTGTACGACAACCCAGCGACATAACGCGGGTCACCCATGAGAATAGCCGCCTTAACAGCCTGCAGCGCTGAGCCAGACAATGTCGACCCAGCACCTCCACACAGCGCATTGTCAAAGATCTGCCCGCCTTGCGAGTAGCCGATGAGCACAATCTTCGTGTCAGGGCACCGCCGGTTGAAGTCCGTCACAGCCCTGACAACAGCCTCAGCGCCCTGCCATTGTGACTGGTCGTAGCTAATTCCGCCACATGACGCTTGTCCGCCACAGGCCGGGTAAACGATGGCTTCGCTGGTCGCCCCAGGGAAGGCTTGCTTAACCATGTTGACGAGCCCCGCAGTTGTGCCGTAGCCGTTGGCTTGCGAAACGGTTGTCTCGCGCGCGCCGAAGATGTGAACCTGCGGGCAAGACTGTCGCGGCTCGACAGGGCTGGCTCTAGCAAGGCTGGCGAGGACAGGGAAGGTGAGAGTGGTGATCTTCATCGCGTTGGCTTCAGGAATTGTAGAGTTATATGGGACCTGGGGCTGTTGAGTCAAGCTTCTGAGGATCATCGTTTCATGGGCCAGTGATTAGCGTGTCCTCTTATATGTTTATCGGCGCAGAGCCTTTTACCATGATCAGTCTCGGGCAAACGGAGTCTCCGAGGGTGATGTGGATGATCTGCCTTTCGAGGATAACCCTGCCCAATGACACAAGAGACAGCGAATGGAATGTTGCCTAACGAATAGCAATATAATCTGCTTTCCCCGGCGAATAGTTTGAAGGCCCTGCTTTTCAGTCCCACCCATCGCCATATATCACTTCTAGCTCGTTACTGTGATAATAGCGGGCACATGCTCCATGGTAGTAAATTGTTGAAGAGGATCCAACGATTAAATTGGAACGATCGGTTGGTGCTTGTTTGAAAGGAAAACAAACATAAGCAGAAAAAAAAAGGGTATCTGGATATCGAAAACCCAAATTTGCAAATGCCGTCTGCCATAACACAGCGGTAGAACACTCCAGGTACTGACTGGAGGTATATGATGCATATCCTGCCAAATGTCACTTGGAGAGACCACTGATCCCTGTATATTCTGGATATCACCATCTTTACCCGCATAGCACATACCGAGAGTGTGTCACTGGTTAATCTCGTACCGTGCTTGTCAACAGATATGCGGGGCAGTTGTTTTGCCTAAATGCAGCGTCCGGCATCAGGGAAGCAAAAGCCATACAAGAAATATTTGAGCAATAAATTGAAAACTCGACAGTGGAATTATCATAATCGATCATTTACTCTGATTTACATTGGCTGTCATGATGACGGATGACTCTCAGTCCAAAACTCAGATATTGGGATGTTAGCCCATAGCCTAACGCATTCTAGTAGACAGGAAATATGGGGAAATGTTTCGACTTAAGGTAATGAAAAGGCTTTCGCTTATGCTGCCTAGCTTGCTATGCCTGCTCTTGTTTTCAATCGGACCTCTAGTTGCTCATTCATAGTCTAGATGTTTCTTTTTGATAGCATAACTATTTAACTTTCAACGGCATTGACTCGTTAGCTTCTAAAAGTAGTCTCCAAAAAGTTTAGGACATCGATTTGTTGGAATATTTTTTGAACCTTCAAGGGTGCCATTTTGAGGGCCTTCCTTAGGCACTCGAGTAATACTCCATAACGCCAAGTTCCTGGAATCAGTGAACGAACCTTAAAGATACTAGTGAAATTCTCCATAACGTCAACTGCATCTCTGTATCACCAAATTAGCGCATACGCTAGGCACATCTCTGCCTGAGAACCTCTGGGTGATCGAGTGTAAAGTGTTCTCGCTTACTTGTGCACAATCCCGTGGTTGATAATTGATTCCGTTAACATATCGCAACCTTACCGACTTGCACAGTTCTTTGGTTCTCTATGCTGAGACGACGTGGAGCTTCTCACCAACGTACGTACTCTACTTTCTATACTACAATACGCAACACCTCAAATGTTCCGATATATCCTGCTTAGGATGCATTCCCATTCCATATTCCCGCCATGGGTGCATGATACAGCTACGGGGATTGTGTTTGGTGTGAAGACGGGGGTTCATCTCAGCACCCTTGCGGCTATATTGCACTATCTCTTCGGATCTGAAGTCTATAACTATGACAATTCCTAGTAAAACAGATTACGAAGAAAATCGTATCTAAACTTAGATGAAAAGGTGGATTGAAAATATTGATTTATTTTATAAAGAATTATCACCTGTAAATTGACATTATCTTACTGATCTCGAGAATTGAAGACAACTTTATATTAGGCGGCAAAGAGGGCAGTTACAATCAAAGTTACAGTTAAAGTCACAGTTACAGAATGATAATTTCTGATCCAAATGTAGTAGTGATGATTAATTGTTCCTTCCTGGCTGTGTTTATGAAGTCCTGCAACACTGTCATTTGTTAGTTTGACAACATCTGTCAGCAGAGCTCGCCAATTTGATAGGTCGTTTAGAGGCTGTGGCAAAAATCTTCTAATGCAACTGAATATTGTCGCTTCTGTGTGATGCAGCGGGATCATTTTCCTCAATAGAATCTTCTCATTTCACCATGGAGCAGTCAGTACATGTCATCAACACCCGTTTCTTTTTTACGGACAAGTATACAGTACTCGGACCATACCGAAATCACGTCGTATGCTTTGTCTTTATGGGTAAAGAGCAGAGCTAGGAGGGATATGGGGATTCGCTCTGGCTCACTCAGAGACAATAACGTGACGAACTCAACCACAGCCTTGCTTTCCTCAACTTAATAAATGTGACAGTCCAAGCTGTCACATATGAGGCTAACCTCGATGTCTGAGTCCAAGGGAGGGCGAGAGTTAAATCTTTCAAGCTGATTCAGGTGTGGCTTTGTAACAAGTTGATATTGAAGCGGCAGTTCTTGCGGCTATCGGCCATGGTGGTGCCTGGACCATCCGTCACGATTTATTGGTTGAAAGCGACGTCGAAGATGGTGCCAGTAGCGTTGACATTAACGTAAGCATGGCCAGCAGGACACTCAAAACAGATGGCAGGGCGGATCAGCGCGGCCGCGCTGGCAATGCCTGGCAGAAGGAGTCCAAGGGAACGCATTATAATTCGCTTGATAGATGATCCCGCGTGTTAGGTGTCGATGGAGGATGCGGATATTACTATGCAGAGGGATGAGCGGTCATCGTCTTATACCCCCTGGCTGACCTCTCGTCAGCATTGACGTTAGAACTTCTATGGTACACCTTTTGTATTGTGACTCTAGCATCGCGATTGTTCATCTACATTAGCTTCTGGCCATTGCTCCGATCTGAGCGTCATTGAAGCGCGTCCTCCTTTGACGTAGAGGGTTTAGAGAGTATCCCGAGCGAGAAACTGTCTCATGACAAGCACAGCACTTCAGCGTCAACGGCGCTTCACCGATCCCCCACACACGAAGGAAGTCAAAGTAAGGTTTAAGAAAGGATATTGGTCTAGCTCCTGCCTATCAGAGCAGACGCCTTGATATGTATCTGCTTATCTTTAGACTGTGTAGATATCGAAGAATCCTAGGCAGGATTCAGAAACTAATGCTGTGTGGGATTTTGCGACGCATCTTTCCATTTCTGGATGAATACATAGGACTGGCCCAAGAAATTCAAGCTGTTGGCCAATTTCACACACCCTGAGGTTCAGAGCACTACTTCAAACTTATTGTAGTTTCAAAGTGAGAAGTTTGCATGTCTGAACTCAACAGAAAATTTCGACCCGAACTTCATACTAGATACGATTGAGGTATAAGTTTTCGTGCAATGTATGAAATTTTGAGCCCAAGCTGGCAACTTCCTGGAAATAATGTTGAAAGCGCATTATGAGGGTACATATTAAAGATGAAGTTAGTACACTAATCTTAGGATATGAGTTTTGCATCACATGTATGGTGTCAATCGCTGATCAGCCAGGCTCCAACTCTGAGGACTCGGTGTCAAGTCTGGAGATCCACATCCCTGGGGTCTTTCGGCCATGAGATTTCCTCCCTCGCCTATGGCACACTACTTCCTATCCCCCTAAGTCCACGTTAATGATGGGAGAACGCCGAGATGCTCATGAGGGCCTGGAATGACAATGGTTTTATGTAATTCAAGTTGGGAAAACCTAAAGGTCAAGAATTCATCTCTAGAAAATGTACTGATCGGCTTGGTACTCGTTACCGTTGGCGAGACTCGGCAAGGTCATCAAAACGGCAGGCCAAGGAGACCGAAATCCTAAGATGTGGCAGAAAATAGACTGTATATGCAGAAGTGGGCTTGAATGTTGATCAAAGACGGCAAGTGAGAAAAAATTGTCTGTGCGAGAATCCCTCCAACTCCAGGAGGTGAGAACTACACCGAAAAGAACTTCGGAATTAACCGAAACATCACTCCACACTCAGTATCTCGTCAACTACCTTCTCGAACTCCTCCCGAAACTGCAACTTCTCCCTCCATCTCACTGGAATCGCATCGACGCCATCCCTTGCGCCTAACAAGCCCCCTGCAATCGCTCCATTCGTATCGGAGTCTCCCCCGAATCTCACCACATCAACCAGGATCTCCTCCAACGACCTTTCGTCAAATAGGGCCGCAATCGCGATTGTCAACGACTCCAAAACAAACCCCTTCGCCGCCAATGGCAGCGCCTTCTTCACATTTTTTGCCCCATCCGGGCCGTTTCTCGCCAGATCGTCCACCTTAATGAGCGTCCTCCCCGTAACCAACGCCTGCTCAACCTTCTTGATCGCCCTTTCCTTCTTCAGCCTGAACACCGGATCCTCCTCCTTCCCCGCCAGCCTCTCTGTATATCTAACCGCTCCAATCCCAGCCTGAAACGCCTCCTCAACACTCTTTCCCTCCACCAGCGCCGCCACAACAGTATTATACACCGCACACGAGAAAGTACACACCAAATCATCATGCGTGACCGCTGAAATGGCAACACTCTCATCCCACAGGCTTCCCCACTCCCTCTGGAACAGCCCCGTCGGAATGCATCTCATCAACGACCCGTTCCCCGCTCTGCCTTCCCCTGCTCCGGCTGCAGCCGGGTCCCTGGTCTGTCTATACCTCTCCAACCCCTCGACCGTTGCCCCGCCCACATCACACGGTCTTGATCCCTTCGCCCGACCAGGCCAGTCCCGCCCGTCAAGCCAATCAAGCATATATTCCGCCGCGATCTTCACCACATCATTTTCTTTCCCCTTTTTCTTGGCCCGTGCGACGTCTCGATATGCGAGGAGGACTGCCCGCGTTAAGTCGGTGTCGTCGGTTGCGTGCCCCGCGGGCCAGGAGAAATGCCCTCCGCCGATGATGTCGCGTAGGCCGTTGGGGAACATGCAGTGGATGTTCCACCAGCCCTGGAACTCGAGGGTTGCGCCGAGAGAGTCGCCGGCGTGGACCCCTAGGAGGGCGCCGAGGATGCGGTCGCGTCGGGTCAGTGAAGGCGTTGACATGTCGATTTAAGTAATGGGATGTTGTGTGAGGAATGTGAAGCTGAAGCTGAAGCTGAATGAGCTGTAAGCAGGTCCCAGTTAGTAGAGAGGGGTTAAGTAGAAGGGGCTGTGTCGCAGAGCATGCCCTGTTTGGAGAGGGTTAGGGCTCAGAGGTCTCGGCGGAAGCTCAGCCTCCTCCTGAATGTCTAATCACAATGTGATGAACAGGGATGTCCTCTATCAAAATCTATCATCGGTCTAGAAAAAGGTATGATACACGTGTCATCGTCCCAGGAGTCGTCGTAATCGTAGGGTGAAAGGTGGTCCTATGCCCTGTCAGCCCTACCCATCTCCTCGGCTTCAGTCAACTTCAAAGCTTCGTGCACATCGTTCACGAAGTGGTGCTCTCCAACCAGCTCAACGATACCACTCCTCCTGAGCAGCCTCCCAACCTTCGAGTCGGGCCCCGGTCCCCGACTAAAAATGACCCTTACTCTTCTCTCCCTGTACCCTCTCACAATTTCTTCCAACACTTGTACACCACTTCCATCCAATGACGTAACCCCATGAATATCGAAGATGATATTCCTATTCCAGTCTTCTCTCCTCAACCTAGGCAGAGCAGGATGAGCCAGACTGGTGCCATAGCGCTCTAGCCTGCGCAGACGCGTTTTAAGCTCGCCCGTGTTTGCGAAGGTCAGTGGTTCTGGAATCTTCACAATGAGACACCCCTCAATAAACTCTAGCCGGTCAGGGTTCGCCTCAGCGTTCTCAAATCGGTCGGTACCAGGAATCCGGCCGAGGATCTGTATGCGGGGGCGTGTCGCATGGCGAATGACTTGCAACAAGGACAAGCCAACACCAATGGCCATGCCGGCAGTGAGAGAAAAGAAGATGGTAGTAAGCAGGATGATAGCCATAAGGCCGAGTTCTTTCCAAGCGCGGATCTTGAGGAAGAAGTGGATGTCGTACGGGCATTCTTCGATAAGGGACCAGGCGACGACACTGATGAGCGACGAGAGGACGGGTTTCTGAGGCAGTTAGCTGTGTCCATTGTCTCTGGAGGTTATGAGGCTTACCGGTAGGTAGTAAAGGTAAGGCAACAAAAACAAGATCGTAAAGAGCGTAAGCCCACTCAAAATGATAGAGGTCATCGGCGTCCTCCCTCCCGTTGATTTATTTACCTTACTCCTACCATACCCCCCAAAAGCGGGCAAACTGGCAAAGCACCCGCCCACAAGATTCGCTGCTCCCAGCGCGACCAACTCCCGATTCGGACTTAACTGAATCCCGGCGAACCCTTCCCCGCCCAAGCTCTTGGCCGCAACAGATGACTCGAAGAACCCCAACAACGCAATCAAGAAGGATGTGCTCATCGAGTCACGGATGTATTGCAGGTTAGCCGGCTGCAACGGCCAACGGAACTTGAACACATGCCCACTTGCTGCCTCAACCTTCCCGAGTACGGCAACACCTGCCGTGTCCCACTTGAACTGGTACGCTAGAAAGGCAGATAAAACAACGACAAGGAACCGATCCGGAATGTACGCCACTCCAGGATACCTTGGCTGCAAGCGACGCTTAATCTCGCGACAGACCATAATGACGACAAAGCTCGTTGCCGCGACGGCGAAGCTAAGAGTATGCACGTTGTGCAGATTTCGGAAAATAAACGTCACCTTGTCGACACTACTACTGTGTCCGACATGCTCCTGGTCTGCAAGGATGCTGAGCCCCAGCTCGGGAATGAGCTGGTCGACGGCGATGACGATGCCGATTGCGCTGATGAAACCGCGGAGGAAGGGACGGGAGAGGACGCTGTCCAGGAACCCGAGGCGAGCCAGGCCTGCAATAAAGACCATCGCGCCAGCAATACCAGACACAATGCCGCACAACTTGGCATGCAGCATCGCATCATGATCCCCGCCATTGCGGTCCACAGCTCCCTTAATGACCGTACCGACGAGCAAAGATCCCGCGGCCTCGGGGCCAACAATCATAGATGGGGAGCTGCCCAGCAAAGCGTAGATAAGAGGGTTGAATACGAAGGAGTAGAGGCCGTTGATCGGTGGGACATGGGCGAGGTTGTCCGCTAAGGATAGCGCCATGGGAACATACATCCCCGCGACCGTAAGCGCGGCAACAAAGTCGCCTTTGAAGTAGGACCAGGAGTACTCGCGAGCCCAATTGAGGACGGGCATGTAGTAGGATAGGTACCTGTTTCGTTAGCGGGGGAATATGTCCCTGAAGAACAAGGGGACTCACATCCAGGCGGAATCCTCCACCCCATATCGTTGCGCGAGTCTCCTTGAGCTGCTGATCTTCTTGCTTTTGATCTTGGCGGCAATTTTCGTCCTCCAGCTCTTCGTTTTCCTCTGCCCCAGGGTCATGGTTCCATCAGGTTCTTCGTCACCCGACGGAGTAGACAGGTCTCCCTGGACACTGTTGACAGGACTCGTGGGCCGAGGCGAGAACACGCCATGGTAACATGGGCCTTCGTGAGGCGGCTCACGGAAGTTGAGTGCTGACTCTAGCAGAGCAGTTGCTTCGGTAGGGCGCTCGGTGCTGGGCCCGGCGCGGCTGTGGAGTGAAGGTGCGCTGCGAGTCGAGGAAGAGTCGTCCGTCGAGCCGTAGGATGACGGAGTAAAGGCTTGTCGGAGATGGCTCGGGTGCAGGGGGGCATGGTCGCGACCGGAACTGGAATTCGAATTGGAAGTCATGGTGGGTTGGTGATCAAGTGACATCGATCAGAAACAACGGGAATGGTATCGATGATGATGACGATGAGGTGTAAGAGTTGGGATTGTAAGTAGATGTTGGCCGTTCAACACGGCGCTGGAGTACAATCGACCAACTGCAGTGCCACAGAGTGAAGCTGCGCTCTTCCGTCGCAATTGAAAGCCATCGAGGGGACGGCTCCCTAAGTCGAGATGCATGCAGTCTAGAAAAGACAAAAGAAAGCTTGGTCGGTCAAGAAGCGAGGTCCTGTCGACTTTTCAGTGGGAATTACTTGAGATCGGATGGCGGGGCATTGTCACATATCAAGGCTTGGCAAATGCCTGGATCGCTGGTTCTGCGTTGCACGTGATCTTGCTAAAGTGGGCGGGTGGCCAATCAGGGTGGTGGGGAAGGGTTTCTGTTGGTCAGAGCCGCGTTAGATTCACTGCGTGGGCAACCTTCACGAAGAAGGTTTGCCAGTCGACGGGTTGCATGGGAAGGACGAGAAGAGAGGTGAAAGAAAAAGATCAATTGATTCTGAGAAGGTTAATTCGGTTTTGCAAAACATAGTGAGTACCTAGGGTATCAGGTATCATTTACTCGTAAATCCTATCCATACCGGAGTTGCACATTACCACACCGTCCAAGCATTACGTCTGCACCATCATGGCAGCCACAACAACATTCCCAGGGCCTTAGCTCAATAACTCGATTAGCCGAAAACCTCAACAACCTCCCTCCCCTCATCCGGCGTAACCGCCAACTCGATCAAATCATGTGCAAGCTCAATCGTTTCTGCATCGATCCCCGCCTCAAAGATCAAATCTTCCTCAGCAAAATTAAGCCGTGCCAAACTGATCAAATGCCGCTGTGATCCGCCATACGATGCCGCCAGCTTGCCCGCCAGGTTAGCCACGTTGGCCGTGCGTGAGTCAGTTGCGAGGTAGTGCAGCAGTTTGGTGGTTTCGGCGATGAGTCGGCAGAAGAGGGTCATTGGATCTGGTTCGTGACTCTCTTCGTTGTCATCAGCTTCGGATGGTTTGGGACAATCATGCTGCATTTCGTCTTTATCAAACAAAGGCCTCTTCTCGGGGCGTAGGGGGAACTCCACATCCATGTCGTAGAGCCGGTCAATTGCCCAGGAAAGGACAGTTACTAAACGGGGGATTGCAACGTCGCTCATAGCGAGCTGCATTGCTCCGAATGGGCTGGTAGCAAACATCGTCAGGGTCTGAACCGCAGCAATCCGTACCCCTGCGTCCTTAATTGTGCCAGGCGTAGCCCACAGAGGTGGCTCGCACAAGAAAGACGAGACACAGTCAATGACCATGGCAGCGATGCCAGTGGTTGTGTGGATATCTCCTGGTCGCTCACTGCCCGCCGACTGGTCCGTCGCAAAAGACGGGATGGGGCCTAGGCTGTCCGGAGTGACGGATGTCCACAGCAGGTTTAGCATTTGCAACCATTCAGTCTCAGGGTGCTTAGGCGACAACATCAGGAGCACAAAGTCAAGCTCCATGGTCCGCCAAAACTGGGTTTGAGTAGAAGTTTTAGGTTGCTGCGTGTTGTCACCGTCATCCACTGGTGGGGATAGGCAGCCTAGAGCAGCGAGATGCAGCAGTGACAAGCACTGTCCGACATCAATCTCAGAAAGCAGCTGGCGCACTGCTGGGTCAGGATGCTCAGCCAAGTTCCCATCAACACTATTCAGCCGGGGGAGAGCCACCAGCCGACAAGTGGTCGCACAAACTGGGATCAGCGACGAAATAATATGCGGCGCGACGCTCTCTGTGTTCAGTAATAGGGTGTAGAGAGCGAGTGAAGCCAAGTAGTAGATCGGAGTATGATATCGCTCCGACAGGCAGCGTTGCCACAGGTCAATAATCAGCTCGACAAAGTCGGCCAATAGCCGCAATGGATCATGCGAATCGCCAATTTTTGGCAGTTTTTGGAAGATGATGGATGAGAAGGACTGAGTCGGGTCGGACGGGAAAGAGAACCGCGACAGCAGGTCGAAAGTAGGTGGTTGCTCTCGGACCGTACCGTGGTCTATGATAACCCGGAGGAACTGTGCTGTCAGCCATGCACACCCACGCAGTCGTAGGTATCAACTTACATCAAACGACAACCCGGGCCTAGAACTTAACATAACTGGAGCCGGCTTAGGCGCCTTGACGACCTGTACATCTCCCCCCTCCGTCTCTAGCACAAATGTCGGGCTATCAACAACCGGCCGCTTCCTCTTTTTGGTTGGTGTCCGATCCCCTGCAGCTTCTCTCCTCCTAGCCTGCCCTTTATTTGGGCTCGTCCCCAGTATCTCCACATCATCAAATCCATCCGGCACACCCCAGGCTCGATTCTTCCTCGGCGTTGATGGTCCTGCTCCTCCATCCTTATCCTTCCTCCTTGCCTTTGTCCGGGTCAGTTCCTCTCTAAGATCCTGACGCGCAAACTGCAGCTCGGTGGTGGCCATTTTCTCGGCCGCGCGTGCCTCCTCGATCAGACGCTCTTGTTTAGCCAATTGCTCAGCCGTTTTCTTTTTGAGCGCGGCGAGCTCTGCATCGTGCGCGGCTTGGGCTTTGTCGTACTTGGATCGTAGAATGGATGCCTCGCCTCGGGCGGTGATCAGCTCTTGCTCGAGGGCGTTGAGCTTCGCTGTGAGCTCGGCAATGAGATCATTTTGGTTGCCGGCGTGGGGAGGTTGAGATGGCTGGAAGGGGTAAGCTACCTGTGGAGGACGGACAGGAGGGCTTGGACGAGGGACGAAGGGCGCTGGACGGGAGAACTGGGATGGCTGAAGGGGATGGTGAGGCTGCGGTCGGGAAGAGCCAGGAGGGTATCGCGGTGAGGAAAATGTTTGAGGGCTCTGCTGTGGGAAGCGACGAAATTGGGGTCTCGGGGGATAAGTCGGCCTCGGCTGTGGGAGATGTTGGTTCCATCGTTGTGTCCCTCCAGCGACAGCAGCGAGGCGGGGCTGGTTTTGTGAAATGGTCTTCTCAATCGCTGTCCGTGGGGGTAACCGCGCTGATTCGTCGATGACAATGGTATCGTCAAAGTCGTCATCGTCAAGACCATAGTCGGACACATTGTGTTGTTGCTGCAGTTGATTTTGCGGCCGTCGGGGGGGTTGGATCGGTTGGATAGGCCTGAATTGAGCCTGCGGAGGGCAGAACTGGAACTGCGACTGGGCTAGTCCTTGGGTCTGGGCGAGCTTCGCCTGTGTCGCCTGGATGGCATTGTTTTCGAGTTCCTGCAGGATCGAGTTGTCCAGCTCATTGAATGTGTCATCCTCGTACTCATCCATGGCCGGCCGCTATTTCAAGTGTTGCCAGATGTGGCACTGCCATTGGGTTATTATCGAGAACTGGCTGTTGTTGAGTTGAAATCGGAGTTGCGTCACTATTCCTCCATTAATGACTTGCGCGCCAGACCGCGTTGGATGAAACGCCCTGCACCGGCTGGCCTGCTCTTGGCGGGATGTCTTGGCGGATCGGACCGGATGTGGGCCAGTGTGGGTCTCTGCCATTTCGGGTCGTTAACACAGTCGATGTGGGGTCTACTCAACGGAATTTGCTTCATGTGATTCGCTGATAGATAGTGCTACTCCACCATTTCCAGCAGCACTTGATACCGCTGACAGCCACAAAGCTAAGCCATGTCTTGAGCACGCAACCGTGCTGCTGTCATTGAATATTAGATCATTCGCGGGGCCTGATGAGAGACCGTTATCCGAGCGACAGGATCCATCTTCATATTTGGTGGATAGGCCCAATTCTGTCCTACCTTCACTACTCTCAGTTTCATCTGCTGACGGCAGGCCCTGGACTAGCTTGGCAGGCTGTTGGAGACAGGGTACGTCCCCACAGGCGCCAAGCTGAGTTGACGTCGGACTCAAAACCATCGAAATTTCAACCCCCGAAGCCCCAACCCGCATCCGCCTGTCCTTGTGCCCGTCCCCCAGCCATATTTTCGCGTGTTCGCCGGCGCGAGATACCCCACGGCTGCATTGCGTCTGTCTCTCGACCGCACACTCCGACCCTGTTGTCTCGCCGGTCTCTCCAAGGCATTTTATCCCATCTGCGCCGGCTCTCCTTCGTTACCGTTTAACCAAGTCTTTGCGTCTCCGACCGTTTGTGAGCTCAGCCAGATAAGTTGTAGTTGACCACCCCACCGCAACTCCTGTTTTTCCGATACTCGAGCAAGACATATTGCGTCGATACTCTTCCCAGAGTACACGTCCAAAGAATTTAGCAGCACCATGACAGGAAGGCTACGTCGCGGGGTCAAGTTCCCGTACAAGCACAATGGCCAATCCGAGGCCCGCCGCGGCAGTTTTAGCGAAGCCAGCGAGGAGGGTTCGTCGCGGGCCGATGCGATCGAGAGCCTCGATGAGGTAGGAATTGACAAGGATAAAATATAGGAGCAGTCGCTGACAGGCCCTAGCTCTCGAAGCCCGCCAAAGTCGAGGACCCCAAGACCGAGTACGAGAAGAAGAAGGCCAACTTCATCACACGCACTTTCTGGACCTTCATCATGATTGGTGGTTTTTTCGCCGCCCTCTTTATGGGTCATGTTTACGTGCTGGCCATCATCACAGCTGTTCAGATCGTCTCTTTCAAGGAGGTCATTTCCATTTCCAACCTGTCGAGCAAGGCCCGCGACCTGCGCTCGACCAAGAGTCTCAACTGGTACTGGCTGGCCACAACCATGTACTTCTTGTATGGCGAGAGCGTCATCTACTATCTGAAGCATATCGTTCTGGTCGACCGCGTGCTGCTGCCGTTAGCGACGCACCATCGCTTCATCAGCTTTGTGCTTTACGTTTTTGGTATGTTTCCTGTCTGAAGTAGCCGTACTCTACTGACTCTCCAGGCTTTGTCTTCTTCGTTGGCTCCCTTAAGGCCGGGCACCTCAAGTTCCAGTTCTCTCAGTTCGCCTGGACGCACATGGCTCTTTTCCTCATCGTCGTGCAGGCGCACTTCATCATGAATAACGTGCTCGAGGGCCTGATCTGGTTCTTCCTGCCGGCCGCGCTGGTCATCACTAATGACATCTTCGCCTACATCTGCGGCATCACTTTCGGTCGCACCCAGCTGATCAAGCTGTCCCCCAAGAAGACAGTCGAGGGCTTCGTCGGCGCCTGGATCATGACCATCCTCTTCGGCATCGTCCTGACCAACCTGCTGCTGCGCTCCAAGTACTTTATCTGCCCAGCAACGAACCTTGGCGCCAACATCTTCACCGGCCTTGAGTGCGAGCCCAACCCAGTGTTCATCCCCCGTACCTACACAACGCCCGAGCTGTTTTTCCTCCCCCCCAACTACTCCATCAGCGTGACCATCGCTCCGATGCAGTTCCACGCTTTCTTCTGGGCCAGCTTCGCGTCGCTGATTGCCCCCTTCGGCGGCTTCTTTGCCTCAGGCCTCAAGCGCACATTCAAGATCAAAGACTTTGGCGACTCGATCCCTGGCCATGGTGGCATGACAGATCGTATGGACTGCCAGTTTATCATGGGCTTGTTTGCCTACATCTATTACCACACATTTATTGCGTTTAAACGGTCGTCGGTCAGTCATGTTATGGAGCTGGCGATTATGGAGTTGACGGCCGACGAGCAGATGGAGGTGATCAAGGGTGTGCTCAAGTATCTGTCGAACCAGGGTATCGTTAAGTCCGATGTAGGTCCCCCGCCCGATCAAAAATTTGAGCTTGACGCTAACTTTGACAGACCCCGGCGGCATTCGAAAAGCTGCTCTCTTCAGCTAAACAACTATGATTGAATAGGGCAGGGTGCCCTGGCGTTGGTTCAACACCTGGACTTTAACAATGTATGACATGTCCTTGCATGGGATGGGCTCGACTAGGTATAGCAGCTGTAGTATCACGCATGATTGGATTCGCTGTACATCATTTGCTTGGACGTGCCTAGGTAATTTTCTCATGGGAGTAATGGCGACTTCCTCTCTAACTGGCTGGTTACAGTCCCAGAGGCTTAGAACTCAAAGGTGATGACAAAAACGGTCTATTCCATAATCCATGGACGCTGGCCCAGACATACGCAAACGAGAAAAAAAGACATTATGTATGCTCATCATCCGTCGTTATTATCGCCCTCTCCGTCCCCTCACCATTTACTGCTCGTTCACAAACAACCCTGCCATGCCCATACCCGTACCAATGCACATACTTGTGAGCAGAATCTTCTTCCCGGTCTTCCGGCACTCGCTCAAGCCGGTAACGATCTGACGAGCACCAGTAGCACCCAGAGGGTGACCTAGGGCAATAGCACCACCGCGGGGGTTCATCTTGGCCCAGTCCAGGCCGAGCTTGTCGCGGCAGTAGACTGCCATGCTGGCGAAGGCCTCGTTGATCTCGATGACGTCAATGTCGTTGAGGGTGAGGTTGTGCTGGGCCAGCAGCTTGGGGATGGCAACAGTGGGACCGATGCCCATAATTCGAGGGGCCAGGCCGGCCACGGTCGAGCCTACGTACTTACCGAGGATGGGCTGGCCCAGCTTGATGGCAGTCGAGCGCTTCATGAGGAGGACGGCGGCAGCTGACATACATTAGATTATTGCGGTATGTTGGGAAAAGGATAAGGAGCTTACCGCCATCAGTAACCTGGCTGGCGTTGCCGCCAGTAGTTGTCGGACCCCACTGAGGAAAGGCCGAGCGGATTTTGCTGAGGGCCTCAACAGTAGTGCCATAGCGAATACCATCATCCTTGGTCAGGGTAACCTCCTGCCACTGGCCGTTGGCATCCTTGATCCTGGTCTTGATGGGCACAATCTCGTCATCAAACAGACCGGCCTTCTGTGCCTTCTCAGCGCGCTGGAAGCTCTCCGCTGCATACTCGTCCATCATCTGACGGGTGACGCCAAAATCGCGCGCCACGTTCTCGCTCGTCCAACCCATGGGCTGCATGCAGTCGACCGACTCCTGCGAATGCTTGGTGACCTCCTCGTCGAAGGGCTTCTCAAGGGCGTCGCCGCCGATGGTCATGCTCTCGGCGCCCATGGCGATACCGATCTCGATCGAGCCGTTGCTGATGGCGTGCGCGATGTCGGCGACCGCCTTGAGACCGGACGAGCAGAAGCGGTTGAGGGAGTAACACGAGGTCGTGTTAGGGAAGCCGGCGGCCAGAGCCGCCGCGCGGAGCTTGTAGGAGGCCTTACCATCGGAGACCTGTATTTGTTAGTGAGCGCTCTGGAGAATATCAGGCGAGTAGGACACGTACATTGCCCAGAGCAATATCCTCAACGAGAGCAGGGTCGAGCTTGCTGCGCTCCCGGACCTCTTTGAGGAGGGCATAGATCATGTACTCAAGAGTGGTGTCCTTGAAGCCGCCCTTCTTGGCCTTGCACAGCGGGGTACGGACGGCCAGAGTGATGACAATATCATCGGGGTTCTTGGCGGTGCTGTGGCTGTTTTAGCGGAACGTTGATGGCAAGTTTCCCAAGTAAAGACACACATCTTGCTCACCGCGCTGTTGGGTGATAGGTGCTTGAGGATGGAACCAAGACGCTCGGCGGCCATTGTGTCTGATTTGGGGATGGGTATCACGAGACGAAGGCGTGTGACGGTGAAGATCACAGTAAGATGGCGCTGGAAACAAGATGGCCGGAGATGATGATGCCGACAGCAAAAATGAGATGGGGCAAATACAAATACACGGCACGATTGCAATTCACTGTGAACGGTGGGGAGCGGTTTGCCGAGGCATCTTTCGGATTTTGTCAGGGACCGTGGCTGTCCTCCATATCCTTGGGGTAAAGTGACCCGAGCCGAGTTGCGGTTTCGGTTGTACGCGGGACGACTGGCCCGCCCACTAAGCATGGGGTCACCATTGGACAAGGCTCCAGGACACAGTTGGACGCGGGGGCCGTTTCCATACCGGACATTCGCTAGTCTGCTGCCACGCTGTGGAGCTTCCAACAACCACAGCTCCACTGTCGGCAGTTGCGGGCATCGATTTCCAGCTGTAAGTGACCATTGCTGCAGTGGCTCAACTGCTTTCTTTGGATGAAGTCCTTGACTATTTTCATCCGCTTTGGATGAGCATCAAGTCACTTTTGCAATCTCCTCGTCTCATCTTTCACCATGAACTCTTAGCGCTGAGGCCCTGAAACCAACAAGAGACTTGATGTCCGCGAAACGTCCACCCCCGGCTGATGCCACTGCTCAGCCCTCGGTTACCTGGCAAACGCTGGCCGCTAGAACCCACAAATCGGCCTGGAAGAAACGTAGCGACGATGCAGTTCCCCGCAAAGTTAGCCGCCCCTCCTGTCATATCACCGAGCTGGCAACCCGGCTGTGGGTCTGATATCGACGATCTACGCCACCCCAGATTTGTTCTAGGGTGCAGTGTTCGTCTGTACCTCGAGGACGGCAGGAATCCCGTCCAAATTTCTGGAAATCATTGTGTCCTGGGCATGACAAAGCTTAGCGTCCTCGGCCATTCTGCGCTAGACCAATGATGGTTTAGCCTCGGTAGAGGCTGACGCCAAGCATTGGCACGCAGCATCACGGAATCGCAGATGTCATTGTCTCCCTTCAACTCAGAGACGATGTTGCTGCAGTCCCCTCAGCCACATTGCTTGACAGGTTGAGACTCCGAAATCCGTCGCTTTTTTCGACTTCTTCTCCAGTTACGCTGTCGATGACCCCTTCGTTTATCGTCCAGTTGACAGCACCAGTGGATCACGCTCGCTTCAATTTCTTCCGACTCCACTGACACTTTTGCGTGTGAAGTCGAGTCCGCCCCTAAACACCGCTCGACCGGATCGATCAGCACACTCAACCCCCATCCATATCATGACCTCCCTCAAAGCCATTGTAGCGTTGGCGGCTCTGGGCTGGTCCCTCTCAGCAGCAGCAGGGCCCCTCGCCTCCCCCAAGCGCGGCCTCGCCTTCACCCCCAACGATACGACCCGTGTCGACGACACCATCTGGATCACCCAGCCATCCTGCCTAACATGGTACTACAACTACAAAGCCGAGCCCGAGCCGACCTTCTCCGAGTCCTTCTCCCAGTCCGAGTTCGAGTTCGTCCCCATGATGTGGGGCGCACCCGAAGACGCGAGTGACACCACTTTCTTGGAGACGATAAAAGGGCTAGTTAAGAAAGGGATTAACATCACCAATGTGCTGTCGTTCAACGAGCCGGATGGGCCGTGGGAGTGGGGCGGGAGTGATATTGAGCCTGCTCACGCGGCGAAGGTGTGGGTGAGCAATCTGATGCCGCTGCAGGAGATGGGGATTAGGGTTGGGTTGCCGGCTACAACGGGTGCGCCTTCGGGCTTGGTGTGGTTGAAAAGTTTTCTAGAGGAGTGCAGGAAGCTAGTGAGCACGGAAAAAGAGAGCAGGAATTGCACGTATGACTTTGTGACGGTCCATTGGTATGGGAACTTCGAGGGGCTGGCGAGTCATCTGGGGGAGTATGTTGCTACGTAAGTCTCCCGTGTCCTGACTTTTCTCTTTGCAGCCGAAAGACTGACAGAGTCAAAAGTTTTCCCAACAAAACGGTCTGGGTGACCGAGTACAATCTCGCACATGCCTCTCTCGCCGAGACTCAGGCATTCTACAACATCTCGGCCGAGTATATGGACCGTCTGGAGGAGGTCGAGCGGTATTCTCTGTTTGGCGCCTTCCGCAGTGACGTGTCGAACGTCGGCCCTAATGCGGCCATGCTCACTGCTGATGGGCAACTTACAGATATTGGGAACTGGTACCTGGGACGTCCGGCAGCTGGGGTCAATCCTGAGTCTCTGGGTACTCGGCTCAGTGTGGCATGGGTATTGGGCCTACTGGGTGTCGTCGTCTCCTTGGTGGCTTAATAAGGTGCGAAGGCTTAGAATTCCTGACATTTGCTGGCAGTTTGGCTAAGATAAATGTTTGGGCACTAGAGTTCCGGATATTTATGACTAATATGCTGTCAGGTAATACAATATCTAATGTTGCTGAACGCACCCGCCATTGCCTTGCGGTTCTATATTATTTTGGTGTGCCCTTTTGGGCGTCGCTCCATTGCAACTGCCCATTTACTACAACACTCCATATGCAATTAGGTCAGATATGCCTGTGGTTGATTGCCACCAATCTGGAGCCCCAGTACATGCGTGGATGGATATCAACATTTGACGTGTTAGGAGGAAGTCCAGGGGCGGAATAGTGGGCAGATGGCTCAAGCCAGGCGCTGAAGGAGCGGCCTCAGATTGTGAGCCACGTGCAAGAGTTCCAATGACACCAAAGTGTAGCGAGAGGCGGGTTATGCTGAACTTTAACACACTGATCTGTTCTTCGTCTTAACCTTGCGAAAAGTCTCGGTGGTCGATAGGGACAGCCTCACCAACTGCCTGTAATTGCCGACTTAACCGGCCGAATCCCACCGACTTACAACTGTTAGGCAACCACTACACTCGGTGAATCCCCTGGTGAAATTCCTCGTGCTCCATGATGTCACGCTTGGCATTCCCTGTGCATCCGCTCCAGTCGGCTCGACCCCGGACCCCGCCCGGTCGGCTTTGCCAGCTTTTCCAGAACTTCGATCCGTCCCGGCTAAATACGGGGAGTGGAGCTGTCATCATCGGTGATCATCCTCCGCATCCTGGTACCTGACCTCCGATGAAGAGGATAAGAGCTTCCCCGCCAGGCTGGCTGACCACATTGCCAACTTTGCGTGGTCCCCTTGCATGCTCAACGTCACCGTCGTAATCGAGCTCAATCGCCTCTACTCAAACGTTACCGTTGGTTTGCAGCACTCGCGAGGCCCAAGCCCGAGACCGCGTAATATTGAGCACTTACACCAGAGCGTTAAGACCAACACCATACCATCGACGATTTCACCATGCCCCCAGTGCGCAACCCCATCCTCCCAGGCTTCAACCCCGACCCCTCGGTCCTACGCGTCGGGGAAGACTATTATATTGCCACGTCAACTTTCGAATGGTACCCAGGCGTGCAAATTCACCATTCCCGGGACCTTGCCAATTGGGAAGTGATCGTTCGGCCCTTGTCCCGCAAGTCCCAGCTCGACATGCGCGGTAACCCAGACAGCTGTGGCATCTGGGCACCATGTTTGAGCCATGACGGAGAGAAGTTTTGGTTGGTATATACAGATGTCAAGAGGAAGGATGGATCGTTTAAGGATACCCCGAATTACGTCGTTACGGCGAGGGATATCACGGGGCCATGGTCGGATCCAATCTTCTTAAACAGCTCGGGATTTGACCCCTCGCTATTTCACGACCTGGATACAGGGAAGAAGTGGCTTGTCAACATGCTATGGGATCATCGACAAAGGCCGCACTACTTTGCGGGTATTGCGCTGCAGGAGTTTGATCCCATTCAGGGGAAAGTTGTTGGGCCAAGGAAAACCATCTTTTATGGCACCGATCTGGCCCTCGTGGAGGGACCCCATTTGTATAAACGCAACGGGTGGTACTATCTTTTGACGGCAGAAGGTGGAACGGGCTATGACCACGCCTGCACTCTCGCTAGGTCGAGGGATATCTGGGGCCCGTATGAAGTCCATCCTCAAAAGCACATCCTTACGTCAAAAGACCATCCCCGTTCTGCGCTGCAGAGGGCAGGGCATGGAGATATCGTCGATACCCCAGATGGAAGAACCTACCTCGTCCATCTCACCGGCCGGCCGGTAACCCAGAGAAGGAGATGTGTCCTCGGCAGGGAAACAGCTATCCAAGAGTGTTACTGGGCCGAGGATGGATGGTTGTATGTCAAAGATGGGCCAGTACCAAGTCTGTGGGTTGACTTGCCTGCCGCAAGGGATGAGGCGAAGTACTGGGCTGAGAAGATATACACTTTCGAAACCGGCTTGCCCAAAGACTTCCAATGGCTGCGTACGCCAGAACCAGAACGTATCTTCGAGACCAACCCTGAGGGTAAGTTAGTCCTCACCGGACGTGAAAGCATCGGGTCGTGGTTCGAACAAGCCCTCGTTGCCCGTCGCATCGAGCACTTTTCTCTTGACGCAGAGACAGTCATCGACTTCAGCCCAACAGACGAGCGTCAGTTCGCCGGGTTGACGGTTTACTACTGCCGGTATAACTTCTTCTACCTCACCATCACTGCGCACTCAAACGGCCAGCGCGAGCTGCAGATTATGTCATCAGAAGGCTCCTGGCCAGACAGCAACTTGCGGTTTCCCTTCCCAGGCGAGCCAATCCCCATACCACAGGAGGGGAAGGTCCGGCTAGCAGTGACCATTCGAGGAGGGAAACAGCTGCAATTTTATTATGCACTTGAGGTAGAGGAGGAGTTGAAGAAGATCGGGCCAGTGTTGGATGCGAGCATTGTGTCGGATGAGTGTGGAGGACATAAGGAGCATGGGAGCTTTACCGGGGCGATGATAGGCGTTGCGGCGTCAGATTTGAATGGAACTGCGGCGAGGGCAATATTTGACTATTTCTTGTATCGCCCAGTGAGCCATGAGAGCGATCGGTATGAATAAGGGATAATTTGGGTGAGCGAGACCGAGATTGTACGATAGGGATTGTATACATTAGCATATCAGCAGGCTTGAAGGTCTTGATTTGCACGTAATGGTACGGTATTGTTAGTGACCAATGAGGTTAGTTGGCGAGATGTGTAGCTCGTGCCAAGAGCCTGTAGGCAGTGGACCTTTGAGCATGCGTTTGTCGTGCCGTTATAGCTATTTCAATGCTACGACATTGATGCTGAACAACAACATAGCTCAGCTGCATGGAAAAGCATCGAAGCAAACACTGATGCGTCTTATACAGACTCTCAATGACTTAGATTCCGTTCTATATTCTCGATGCTATTTACCCCCTTAACATCTGGTTTGTCCAACATGATGTGCAAACGTCCATGAACTCGGCCCTGGGATGGTGGCCATGTTTGCGAGGGTAGGACTCGATCCTGGTAAACAGTTCAAAAAGAGGTTATCAATATTACCCCGGTTGAGGGTGGCGTCATGCGGGACTGCTGGCTAGGGCCGAAGAAGGTATTGCGCCAACACGACGTTGCAGTCACCACACACGCTATGCGGCCAAACGTACGGGTCACCGTACGGCCCACAAACGCACCCCGGCTATATGTGTGCCAATCCTGCAGTTGCTCGTGGCTATATTGCTGTGTAGTATGGGTTACACGACCTGGCCCTACCAAGTATAGTACCCGGGCACATTAACCTATCAATGCGTTATGACAACACTATGAAGGATGACGACAAGCTTCGTGATCATGATATTCACTTGAAAAGACATGTAAAATTAAGGAAGACATAGCCCTGCTGGTGAAATTGTGTGGCTGCAGAGTAAATCTGTGCATATATTCCGAATTCCGAGAATGGAACCCCGCGTTGCAGCGATGCATTGGTCAAGGTCGGTTCAGCTTAACACGTAGCGACCTTGCGATGCATCTTAACCAACGCCGACCGGGAGAATGGCAGGTTACGCAAAGAAACCTTCCAGAATCCGCTAATATGCATGGCTCGAACGATCCCTTCTTGACCAACACGTTGGCGATGAGGGGCCACCCCGCCAGGGCGGAGTGTGCGTGACGACTACTTATACGCAGTCTCTCGTCCCGAGCCATTGAGTCTTCTCGCCAGCCCGCATCAAGCGTGTCAAACGGGAGAAAATGGCGCTGCCGAAACTTTCTCTGGCTGCTGGTGCCTTGCTGCACCTCCTCAGTGCCGTCAATGCCTACCCTGGCCGCCCGGTGACCTCCTCGACCCTCGTCGAGAGGGCTGACCAGCTGCTGCCTGAGTACGACTATATCGTCGTTGGAGGTGGCACTTCTGGTCTGACTGTAGCGGACCGGCTCACTGAGAACGGGAAGTGTATGTGGATGGCTTCCGGAACTGAGCATTGGACATGACTGACATGACCAGACACTGTTCTTGTTCTCGAGCGTGGCGTCTTCCGTAAGTCCCCTCCACAAGAGCTGAATGATCTCTCGCTGACGTCTCTCAGGTAATGACTCCTTCGTGACGACCGTATCAAGCGGTTTCTGGGGTCTATTCGACCCGACCCTGACCTTCGCCTTTGACTCGACGCCGCAGGAGGCCCTCAACAACCGCACCTTCATTGTGCGCGGCGGCATGATCCTTGGCGGCAGTTCCGGCGTCAACGGCATGCAGGTTGTCCGCGGTCAACGCGAGGACTATGACCGCTGGGGGCAGTACTTTGGCAGGAACTCTGGGTGGAGCTGGAACAGCTTGCTGCCCTACTTCCGCAAAGTAAGCTTAATCTTGACTAGAGGATAGTTGATCGGTCACTGACGACACAGGCCTGGAACTTCCATCCTCCCAGCAAGGAGCTGGTCAAGCAGTTCGACATCAAGTACGACACCAAGTACTGGGGAAGCACCTCCAACGTGCACGCCTCGTTCCCTACCATGCACTTCCCCTCCCTGAGTACGTCTTTACCCTGTCCCTTGTCTCGAGCCAGGTCTAACAAAAGCAGAGACTGTCATGTCCGCTTGGAAGGACATCCCCGGCGTCAAGTACCCGGCCGACTCCGGCTCAGGCGAGACCGGTGCCTACTGGCACCCGGCGTCCGTCGACCCAAGCGTCATGCTGCGTTCATTCGCCCGTCCCGGTCACTGGGATGGTATTGCTGACCAGCGCACCAACTACCACACTTTAACCGGTCAGCGTGTGCTCAAGGTCCAGTTCGACAACCACAAGCGCGCCACTGGAGTCGTCTTCGTTCCTGCCAACGCCAGAGACCAGAGCGAGGCCCGCACGGTCAAGGCCAAGCGCGAGGTCATCCTCGCTACTGGTACCATTCACACACCACAGATTCTGCAGGCTAGCGGTATTGGCCCGCAGAAGCTGCTCAAGAAGGCCAACATCACGGTCGTTGTTGACCTCCCTGGTGTTGGTGCCAACTTCCAAGACCAGCCATTCCAGGTTGGCGCTAGCTTCAACTGTAAGCACTTCATCGCATCATGTTGTCCGATAGGTATTGACCAACTTAGTCACCAACTTCCCCTTCCATCCCGACCTCAACGACAAGTTCAGCAACGCGACCTTCATTGCCGAAGCCGACGCCGAGTTTGCGGCCAATCGCACTGGCCCCCATACCATCGCCTCTGGCAACGCTGGCAGCTGGCTGTCCCTTCCTGTCATTGCCCCGAAGACCTGGCAGGACATTGCCCGCCGCTACGAGGCCCAGGACCCGGCCAAGTACCTGCCCAAAGACACCGACCCGCGGGTCGTTGCTGGCTACCGGGCGCAGCAGAAGGCTCTTGCCAAGGCGATGCGCTCCCGCGACTCGGCCATCTACAACTTCTTCCTGCGCGGTGCCCAGGACGAGGGCTCCATCGTCTTTCTGCACCCGACCAGCCGTGGTACCGTATACATCCGTCCTGAGGACCCATACTTCTCTCCTCCGGAGGTCGATTATCGCGCGCTAAGCAACCCCATTGATGTGGATATCCTTGTCGAATTCACTCGCTTCACGCGCCGCTACTTCACCGAGACCCGTCTGAAGGAGCTGGCCCCCGTCGAGTTGGCCCCCGGCAAGGATGTCCAGACTGCCGAGCAGATAGCCCAGTGGGTACGTGCCAACATGAACCCAACTTGCTTTCACCCAGTTGGCACTGCTGCCATGATGCCGCAGCACCTGGGTGGTGTTGTTGACGAGAAGCTGCTTGTCTATGGTGTCAAGGGCCTGAGCGTCGTTGATGCCAGCATCATGCCTGACCTCCCTGGCTCGTACACTTACCAGACAGTGTATGCTGTTGCTGAGAAGGTAAGCTGACCGAATAGCAACGTTGTCAATAAAACCAATGCTGACAATGCCAACAGGCTGCCGATCTTATCAAGGCTCGTGCTTAAGGGATGACCTGACCCAGGGGAGCGTGGACAAGATCAGGAAGTCTGGAGAGCCCGCTTCTGTGGGGTGAACAGTCAAATTAGATAGTTTGATCACATTCTGTATCTTAACTTTGAGGCTGCTTTGTGCTTCTTCGATCAATAATCATTGTACTCACTGCAGTAGTTTGGCCTCCATACCAAAAGGTCCGTGTTAAGAATTTAACAAGGAGTGTCTTTTAATAGCCATGTGTTTGCAGATAGCCACCTTCAAAGCTGCCCTGCGGTCTTAGCTAGCACCTTACATTTCTAGCGTATAAGAGCCACAGCTCTGAGCAAGCCTGGCTGTCTTCCCGGAGCGACAAACTCCTTTGTTAGTTCATCTGCTTTAGGTGCCTAAAACCCTGGTGCATAAAGCTTAAGGTTTTAAATCTCTGGAGTCCCCGTTGTCACAAAGATACTGCAGTCCAAGGGAAGGTGTATTCCCGACTGCTAACACAAGAGACATTAGAGATAGAATAATTGTGAACGATGCAAATACGCGGTTGATCCCGGAAGATATATGGAGCCACATGACAGAACAAACCAGATGGTCGAGGCAGGAGGACGAGACCCCTGAAAAGCCTATAGGCTAAAAGACTCACAAGGGCAAGAGGATTCCATAAAGGAAGCTGCCCGGACACGATGAAGGACTTCCCTTGGTTTTCCTCTCCCTAACACAAGGACACTGAGGACTAAGAAAGATTATTACACGTATCAATCGACTTCGTTGTGCACCCCACATCATCAGTGGCTATCATCTAACCCATTTGACCCATTGTCGGTCCCTGCCTGCACCAGACAAAGCTCCCCCTTACAATATCACTTTCATTCTTCTCTGGTGCGACATGCTTTTGCAAAGCTAAGTGAGGACTGTGAAATAGCTCGTACAGAGCCGGAATACACCATGGTCCTCAAGTACCTCCGGTGTTCTAGCTTCCCGAGAGGAGTGGAGTCACCTGCGATTAATGAACTTCTAAGGGACACCATCTCACCAAACTGGAGAGCTGACTTTCATGTTCTCGTCAATTCATGAACCTCCTACTATGTCACTAACGTATGCAGTCTGTTTGCATGGAGTCTCGGCTGGCATCCGCTGTCTCCAGGAGACCATCTCTCTGGAGTACTATAACTCCTAAAACCTTCATTGCTAGTGTCAGTGGGGCAGGATCATATTCTCATCCTGCTTCTGTCCAGTCAACAGCAGCTAAGCCACAATCGGCCGAGTTGCCCTCAGAGTACATGGCATATGAGGCACCAGATCTAAAGTTTTAACAGTATTAGTTGTACGGTCCATCCAAGCTGTCTTGTCAAATCGAAGGTCCAAGGAACAACTTAGCATCTTCAGCAGGGTTTTTGGGAGCAGGAGAGCAAGAGATTTCAGAGCAGAGGACATCACTAGAGATCACTATGCTGGGAATAAATCTTGTGGAAGGTTCGAAGGAGATGGGAAGTTTTCAATCTGTAATGAGGGATAATGTAATAAGTCGCTGATATAGTTATCAACGCTTCTGCAACATATCCTGAAAGTGAGGTTAGGTATCACTTACTTGACTCTGTAACCTGAATATCCACCCCTCGCCTCTCCTCGTCATTCCACTCGCGGTCGTATCTCTGCCGGCTCAGTGGTCGTCCTAGTTGCTTTGAACCCTCTGAGAAGCTCCCGTAGACCGCCAGGCTTGCACAAGTTTTGGGTTAGCACGCGCCATTCATATTAACGCGGCTAGGAAGCAAGCGCTATTTCCCTCTCTGTATCACGTTGCTGGTAGTGAAAACTGCGTGAGTGTATTGCGGATAATCGCCACTCTGCTGATACTTTTTGTATTCAGCTTTGCCGTAGATGTGCTTGTCGTAAAATACGCATAAAAAGCAAGGCACGGCACGAGAGTTATTATAAGGTACCTAGTGTCTCGTAATGAGGATTGTTAAAGGTAACAGCCAAGGAACAGCCAGATATTTCCCTCATAGTCCCTTACCTCTCCATTTAATCCTCTCATCTTCTCTAATACTTGGCACTCCCTAAGCATCAGGTAATCATCGTTTCTACTTCACCGACATATTCCTCCGAGTGGTTGTGAGCTGTTCAGTCCTTTTGATGGTTATACGATCAGTTCAACCTTACCTAATTTGCCTGAAACATGCTTTCGTCTCGGTTCCTTCATAGCCCCAGTCGTTTTGGGCTTTGAACTTTGCCACTCGCTGCTTTCTGGTTCAAGAACACAAGGCCATTGTGGAAGCGAGATAAGCCTAATCAAGCCTGCCATAATTTGGCCTGAATGAAAATTATCACCCTGTGTTGGGTTATGTAAGTTGTTTTTTTTTTATTTTTTTGACGTTCAACGGATAGCTCGGGCTTGCTTACATAATGTCTCCGCCGTTGTACTAACAGTCGACCAGTCCTTAAACTCCCTCTAGCACCTTTGCAATCATGTACTTACGGTGAGTTTGTGATCCAAATATTGCATTATCGTTACAGAGCTGTGACAATCTGATAGTATGCCATCAAAGCTAGTACCCCTATTGCACAACTGTGTTCTTGCACCAACTTTCAGATGTCGAGTTATTGATTGCTTCATCAAGACTGTAAACGGTTTCTAATCCTACAATTCCAGTAGTCCAGGATGTAATCGTATCAAAGAACTCATATATGACAAACTCTGTTGCCGACAAATTGGTATATACTTGATGGATGCTATGTTCTTATGCTTTTACCAGTGTACCCCATTATCCCGGAATGTCAGAATGGCTACGGCAGTATAAAGTAGTGACCTAAATTTCGCAGAATCTTTCAAGATGGCAACATGCTCTAGCGCTCTTTCTGCACGGGACGTCATCACACTTCTTGCCAGTATTATAACATAGATTTCGTGTTCTTCGTTCATAGAGAGCTCAAAAACGAGCAACTTCGTCGTGTAAGTAACGATCTTGTAAATCAATTACTACGCCAAGTTACTAACACGATCATAGGTCCTGCGAAGCGGGCTAGCTTGCCCACGAGATATTTCTTTAGTACGCAGCCGCACTCGTAGGGTTTAAAACTTTACGTTTTTTATCACAATTGACCGTGCAATTCGCCACTAGACAAACACCTTCAGAAACAGCTACTTTGACGGTTATATACAAAGCAATCCAGAGTTTTACTGGGTAGTAGCTTCGACTGTTGACTTCTCCTTGACGGGCTCAACACTCGGCCTTTTGTACATGATCTACATCCACAGGTCCCATAGTAGCTGATGGGATGGCGGGGATACTGTCCAACCTTCTGCTACACATGAAGTATCGGCTCCATCGCTATCTCAATTGCCCATAATGTCCAGTCGCCAGCAATCCATGTACAAAGTGTAGTACAGGTGACCGCTCAGCTCTTCTAGTTACCTTCACCATAATCGAGTGATCAAAAGCAGTCCTCTGCCTGAAGCCGGACCACTCTTCTTATCTTCATTATGGGTCTCAGCAGCACTACTTGTCTTCTTCCACTAGGTCTATTCACTATACCCCGTTGAGAGAGTTGATGAAAAAAATGAGCTATAACACACACGGCTTAGACACCATAGCTGAGTTATCAGTGGAAATAGAACAGACACACTTAATTCGGAAGGTGCTAAGAGCTTGAATAAGATAGGTAACAGGAAACTTTGTTAAGACAACCTATCAACGGCAGAGGTGAGTAAGAGAGAAACGTATATGGCCGGTTAGTAATAGATAGCTCTACCATCGGCAACAACTTGCTTTTCAGAGATGTGACTGAGTTCCCAACTTTGCCCTGCCGTATTCCGAGTGGTGAAAGAATAACAATTGACTTCAGGCAATGGCCGGGCTCCCTTGCCGGCCGAGCCTTCTGTCACATCTCGAGCATCACGACAGCCTTGTTACACAGTCTCTCCGGTCTTCCACAATTATGAGACCTATTGGCCGTCCGCTCGGGGATTGATGTCAAATTGGGGACACCAAGCCACGACCAACTCAAGAGGCGTGATGTGGACGATGATGAAGCTGTTTTGTCATCATTCATTGGATGTACCGCTCGGTAAGAGGTATATTCGACACGAGGATAGTGATCTTCGGAGGACTGGCGTCGGAACGTGGAGTAGCAGAGAATCCGAGAGTCCGATGGCTTTAAGTCGGAGCCGGCACTGCCTTTGGACCCAAGATGACAGGTAGACTGTCAGAAGAGAGAGCCTTGTGACATAAACGGTCCCGAATATGTTCCCAACTTTTGTTTGGCTTTCTTGCGTTGTAGACACTTATTTCTGGCGAGTGAAAGAAAGGCGATGTCGGCACTTCGAGATCGTCCTAGGATCTGGCATTACTGCTTGCCCGGTTGCACAGGCACCCTTTCCCCGATCCCGATCATCGTGCTGTATGTGAGCTGTGTGGCCACTTGCTGACAGAGGACGAGGTAAGCTCGGCGCCCGTATCCGGTCCGATTTGTTGGCGAGGAGAGTGTACAGGCAAGAGAATGCAAAGCCTCCGATTCGGTGACATTCAGGCATCCTCAAGCTTCTGGACGTGTCGGCAAACAAACAGTGAGAGATCAGGCTTAAAATAAGAGAAAGCAGTCAATAGATAGACAGATTAGGATACTAAGACAAGTTAACGATTATAGAACCTGCGTCAAACTAATTTCTTTCAATCCCACGATGTTCTGTCAACTCAAGCTTGTCCTGAATTTGCTGGAGCCCCCCATTCTGCATGGCGCTGAACTGCCGGTCCTGCACCAATAAACATAGGGAAGGCGGGGAAAAATCCTGGACTGGACGGTCACTGTTAATAGTGTGCATGAAAGACAGCACCAACCAGAGAGGAGACAGCCGTCGAACCGTTGTGGTCATTCTGTGTACAAATGGCTGTGTACAAGAGGGGGACCACTTTGTACTGGAGTCACGATGTCCCACTCTTCTAATAGTAGTGTGCTTGGTATCAAGTGTGCTTTGCCATCATATGGGTCCATCTAAACCCAGCTCGCCCTGCTCAATGATCAATAA